CACACACACTCCTGTTGACCGTAAACATGCCATCGAATCCATGCAGACTAAACCTAAATTTGGTGGTGGATGGTACGAGATCGCCAACGGGACTCACAAGGGTTGAGAGGAATGTCAGACCAACGATTGTCAGACCAATCGTCAGGCTAATCGTTGCCGGTGCGTAGTAGAAGACACGCAAAGAGTTGACTATGCATTTGAAGATGTGTCGAATTTGGAGTAGAAAGGGGAAAAATTAGTTACCGTGGGAATTCCGCTGGAAGATTCGAAGGATGTTGTGAACCAGGGTGTCAATTATGGATAAGGTCTTAGCGTTGATATATTAACTGTCTGCCGAATCATACAAGAAGACTTTAGGAAGGTGGTAGAAGATTAGTATGATGTACAGCAGCACAAAGTTGAGTTAAACTTCATGTGAAACACAGCGGTAAGTTGAATAATATCACAGGCATCATAGAAATCGGATAATTGTGACGATATTGTCAATTGCGATAGATTGGCCGGGAGATTAGTAGTAGAACCGGCAACTCGTTGTAGTTCTGAACCAGTAACTCGTTGTTCTTCGTCAACAAAATCAATGAATCTACGACATCACTCGCAGTAGTCATCAGAGGCATCACTTCGATTAACGTATTGACGAAGCGAACAGATTCTCCGCATGATTTAGAATCCAAATCTGGATGATGCGGCTGTCCGCTAGTAGCAATCGATCGACCTAAGGCTACGGTTAGCGCTGGTTAGCTCCTCAATACTTCGTCAGGCTGCGCGGCACAAATTTTTCTCTTCGCAGCATAAACTCCCCCGTGACCAAGATTCGGATAAATCCATGCCCTTGAGGGATTTAACACATTCTCAAGGCGCGCTTCCTTGCTCGTCCTGGTTTTTCTTCTCAAGGACTCCGCTGAGAACTCAAGAACTCTATGATGCGCCCCCTCTTGAGTACGGCCATTACATCGGGTTTCTGGTTCACATGGGTAACATCTTGAGCCTGGATGATAGTTTCAGCCTGAAACTTTCAGGTCTCCCGTCGGGTTTCGGGTTTCCCTTTCTCCGGTTTCACCTGTGTTTCTTCGTTTTCGGGAGGAGCCGTAGTCTGGATTGTACTTGCATTACAGCCATTACCCGGATAACAGCCCGAGACCCGACCTCTGATGAGTCAGTCAAAACTCCGAGTAGTCTGTAGATTGGACCGACGTGCTGCCGATTGCATGCACTTGTGCTAGCTCAAGGATGATGACTATCGATTGATGACTGTTACATCAACATGAGCCCTTTATCAAAAGATAGTGCGTTCCCTTTAGGTATGAGGCTCGTATGCATTGCATAAAGCGACAATATTACCATTTTTTTGGAGTTATTCGATCTCGATACTCTAGTGAATACATCAGAATGCGTCACAATCTCTTCCCCTCAGGTGGTGACATCTCAAGAAGCCACCTCATCTAAAATGACTTCTAGTAGGGTATTTGACTTCCTCCACTTTGATCTTCTTGACATCCCTTGGGGACAGTCTCACAGAAGCTGCGACATTACCAGTAGTTGATAGCTTACCATCGTAATCGGTCGGTAGTAATGCCATCAGCTTTCGATTCTCGAATCAAGTCGAAGGTTCATATACCATCGCAACGATGCTCATTTCTCGCTCCAGCTTTGCACGCAGAGGGCGAACGTTGTCCCAACCGCGCTGTTCATGCATTCTGCAGAAATAGTGACCGGCCTCCAAGAATTTAGTGACGGAATCTTATTATTCTCCGAGCATGTGGGTACTGCGAGCAAACCAAGAAAACAACGCATTCAAGGACGTTTTAAGGTCCAAAAATACGCAAAAACGTCAACGATTTAGAGTTGAATTAACGCAGAAAACGGATGAGGCAAAGCGTTGACGATGTAAGTTTACGCAGGACACACCGTTGTATATACATGTGAAAACTCCACACTATGAGCAGAGAAAAAAGTGAAATTTGATGCACGATGACAATCGTTGGAGGTTTTCCTATAGTTTTGGACAGAGCGTACTTAGCTTTAGAAATCTCCATCATCATGAGAATCCTCATACTGCAGGCAGCCCTGGCGTTCGGTACGGCTCACGGAATGCAACTCCAGACGAGAAGAATTGGAGACAAACTTGGCGCGATGCAACCTGAGTAGGCTGTGGCACTCTCTGCTCCTTCGAATAAGCTAGACGAAAAATGTAACCTGTTTCAGCGCACCCAGTGTGACCTCTGAGAATACAAGCCTAACGACAAGCACCCCTTCCATGCCGTTGAACGGATGGACGAAAAAGGTAAACAGAATAGACTCATCTTCACGCGAGTTCGAACCTTACCACGTAGCATTCCGAGACTATCTCGCGGGAGCCCTTCAACAACTCCATCGAGACGGGAGAGCCTGGTCGAATATGGAGTGCTGGTCTCCAGGGCACGACCATCGCTGCCTTCCGGGAGTACATATCAAAAGGCGTGAAACCAGGGTCGCAGTCGGACACAGAGCCCTGCAGCTGGGATGAGTGTGCTCTTTATGCTTGTGGCTACTGCGAGACGATCGACGGCTCTGTCTACTGCCCGGAAACAAGAATGACGGACGATGGCGGTGCCATCATGGTGGGGGAGGTTCAGGACTTCTGTACTTTGCGTCCAGAGGCGAAGTGAGTCTGTGGGGGACAGGTCTATCACCCGGTCTAACCGTTCGTCTAATGCCAGGAGCTCTGAGCTCTCGAACCACTCCTGCAGAGAGGCATTGAATCTCGGGCCAGGTAGAGCCGTCGGCCATGACTATCACTGAAGGGTATTCTATTGTAGGTGAAGTACCCCCAGCAGTGAAGCATGCTACCCACTCTAATAGCAATTCGACGTTCTCCGGTGAAAACCCGACTGTAATGGATTCCCTCGCTGCAAAGCCTGGGGAATCACTGCGTAATAAGATAGGAGTCACCACCCAGGGTGAGCACAGTCAATGGTCTAAGCGCTATGATTTTCCGTCCTTTTTCAGGCCACGTCATGTGCAGCGGAATGGTGTTCCACTTCACGCCGAGAAGACAGGAAGCACCGAGCAAGGCGTCCGCTATATCGCCCCAATCGATCTTAGTTGTCCTGATTATCTCATTACTAATAATCTCATTTTGAGATTCTCATGAACCACCCTGTGCAAAAGCACAAGCGTCCAGGTTGTCACGACTGTATTCAGCTTGCGTTGACTAGTAACAAAACAAGTGCACTATTCTACTCAACGACTAGAGCTATGTAGCTATTTACCAATGATCGTGTATTGGGACAGTGCACAAGTGAGCACCAGAAACTCCATGTTCATCCTTTGTGATCTTGCTGTCCTCACATCTCTTTCAACGTGAGGTTCTTCGGTCAGTGGTCCCATAGTTCCACCTGACATTCCAACCTAAACTGAGAAAAATAGTCTTCACCTCAGATGGACTGATCCACAGCCCTTGTCGAGGACGGGAGGAGCGGTGGTGAAACTGCTGAGGAATTCCTCCAAATCGGACGTGAACGTAACGGCAACGATAACTGGTACAAACTGAGACTTACACAAATGCTAGAGTGGAATCGTGGTGCACCACGTGTATGTGAAGAACTCGCAACGGTGGAAGTTATAATGCCTCTCGGCCTCTCCCAAGCGACGGTCATCACTCCACTTCCCAGAGCATCCCATCTGCTCACGATGAAGTCGTCTCCATCTTCTCAGAGCGACTCACACATCGAGACGATGACGAAGTCTGATCTCGCGATGGGGGAGTTGGGCTGACATATATCCTCTCGATCGAGCGGTGGGTGCTGGGAGGGATCATGTCCGAGGTCGACTGTGTGACTACATATTGCTGCATCGCTATTATTGCGCCTATCAAGCTAACTTGTCAGTAGGAGTGTGTCGGACACTTCCATTCTTATATCCTGGTACAAGAGGCGTCTTCCTGATACTGCGCTACAGGTTGTGATGCTATTATACATTTCTGGAGATACCCTATAGAAGGTCACCAAGGGACTATTCGACAGATGATCATCATCAACGGAATACTACTATATAGGATAACCCTCCCCTACTATAGACAACACAAAGCTGTAGACAGGCTCGAAAGTGGGGAGTACATCATGACGATGATAAGTGACAAAGTCGCTCCATAAATACTTGAGACACCACCGAAGGAATAGTACATAGATGGGGAGCTACTACCATGACTGTACAAAATTCGTAAAAACTCGCTATGTTGCTATGGTGACGACACGCTTTTAGTGACAAAAGACGATCTACACAGTTACCAGGGGAGACGCTCTACTCGATGAACTGGCTGACTTCCTCTTGCGCTCGGGCTCATCAAGGGCAGCCTTCGGAGTCGCCAGGTGCACACTTGAAGTAGTGCTTGAGTGAAGCTCTCCACTATTGAGACGCTTACTTCGCAACAAACGACTCGCCTGACCTAGATCACCATTCCTGAGAGAGGGACCATTCCGTCACGCGCCACGAAATACGGCCCACCGTCCAATAGAAGACTCGCTGCCCAGCTTGACCCACTGAGGGTTATGAGGAGAGGCTCTACCACTATGACAATACGCCTCCATCTCGAGGAGATAAGCCTAAAGCGCCGAACAACAATCAATTGAGTCAGCGAACAACAGGGCGAATCGGAACACAACCCCGGTAACGCTCAGCAAGAGTCCATCCCTCACCTGTTGTGGTCCGAGTATGGAGCCAGGCCGACACAATCGACACCATCCAATGAACTGGGGAGCTGTGAGACCGTACTCACGCATCGCCCACAGACCTACGTTGAGGGGTGAAAACACTGGCACTCCGGTCACCCTGTGAAGTACCAATAAGAGTTCCAGTTCGACCAAGACCTGCCTTGCAATGCACTGCTACCGCGCCTTCAGAAGAGTCGACTATTGCGAAGAAACGCTTCACTACTTCATCGGAAGGGCATGAGCCATCCTAAGGGATGGGCCAGTATAAGCACACACCAGCCGAAGTTAGGGCACGAAGGAAATCATGAGAGCAGCACACGATTTGAAAATGGCGTGGTATCAATAACCATAGCCCACCTCACCTCGAAGTTGAGATCATAGTGCCTTATTCCGTGTTGAGTGAAAAAGTCAGGGGAGTATCTTCGCTCATTGAGCCTCACCACAGTGGAGACACCAAAGTCGGGCGTTGAAAAAGTCTTCACGTAGAGGTCTGGATGGCATACTTCCTGGCCCTGCTCATCCACAAGAGTGTCGCTGGGACCTGAGTGCGCAGCTAATTTCGTGGCGCGCGGTCAGTCCTACCAGCAAAAGCTAGAATCCTAGCCGGGACAATCCAGTTCATATCGCCATTTGGAAGTTGTTGGTAGTGCTCCCATGCCTTCCGGTCAAACGTCTCCAAATCGAACCAACCTTCGCGTACAGCAAACTCGAACCCACCACACACATGTTCAAGGGTAAGGTCAAAACTGGACGCCCCAAGATTCGCATCCCGGAAGGGCTCCAATCTGATATTGTTGAAGTATTGGGCTGCTTGAGCGCCTGAAGCACCCAAAGTACGGCCCGGGAGGTATGGTCGGAGATGGGCTCACCAGTGACATCTCCTCGGTACGTGATACACAGGGAGGCTAGACAAGCTGAGGCCGCTCGGAAGCTGTTCTTAGAAGCACAGAAATGAACAACTCGACGACCAGTGTCGAGCAAGCCGCAAACGTCAGAAATGTACCTTCCGAAAGAGACGATAATACCCGGGTTAAAACAACACTGAAATCAGCAACAACATCGTCCCAACCAGCTCCCTTACACACTCCTTCAGGGACAAGCACCATACCTACCTATGGGTAAGGGCAAGGTCATAAGGTCCAAATTCTTTACCCAGAACTTGGTACTCATATTCAGAATCAGTGCAGATGTAACACCAGCCATTAGCGTCCCCTTGAAGGTACTTCCGACTGCTGTCAAGCGCCTATGAATTCGAAAAATGCATTGGAGTTGTGGACGGTAATAGTAGACCTTATATGCGGCTTTATTGACCGAAACCCAGAGGTATCTTCCTGGTATCAGAGTGACAACTGTACACTTGCTGATGAATGGTATAAGGTGCTCTGGGAAAACCTGGGGGTCTAACTGCGGTCCTGATCGATAAGCACAGAGTATCGACCCAGAGGAACCCGTTCGAGGCCATCCCACAGTGCGCGACGATGCTAGTCACACATCTCACTCATCGTCTTCAAACGCTGATTCCGAGCACCATTATGGGTGCACTATCCTGTATCGGCTCCAACACCTAGGTCCCATGCGGCTCACCTGTCCTCGTGAACCGAGGCACTACTACTTCAGCTGCTGCTGCTGGTGGTGCCACATTGTTGGTCATAGCCTCTCTGAACATATCTACAACGCTCTGATGACGGGCCTCTTTACAACTAGAAGAGGCTCCACAGGAGGTCATCGACAACGACATTGTTACATAACAACTCTGAAGGCGTCACCACTCACGGCCTCCAATGACTTCAATCGAGCTGTGATAACACAACCACAAGGGAGTTACTGAAACCTTAAAATGCACAAGTCAGAAACGAGAAAACTCTAGGGTCGGGACCAAGTGCTGGTCCGGCCCAGCTCTCCAGCTTGGAAATAGAGCTCCCTACCTTCTGGTGTTAATACACAGTCCCATCCGTCTGGCAACTCCTTGAGGGCGGCAACCGCCACCTCAGCTGCCGTCGGTGCCTCTTTATCGGTCCTCACCTCCGACGGGACATCCCATTGTGTCACACCAGTGGTGGAGTTGTGGTAGTAAGGAGTGCCATCATCAGCCTTCAACTGCTGCCACCCCTCGGGGAGGGCATTCACTGAAGCAGACAGGACGGTCGGAAACTCCCACTGAGTGAGTCCAGTATCGACTTGATGATAATAAGGAGTTCCATCATCAGCAATGAGCTCCTCCCAGCCCTCTGGCAGGCCTTTCCGCTCTCCCACTCTGCTCTTGACGAGCCCAGAATCTTCCGCGTGCGCACCCCTAGGATGCTCCCACTGTGTTTGGCCAGTCGTCGAGTTGTAGTAATAAGAAGTGCCATCATCCGCATGGAACTCCTCCCAATCAGCTGGCAAGGCCCCCTTGGTCACTGCCACGTCCTTCTCCTCAGAGACCACACTGCTCTCGGTCGGCAGCTCCCACTGTGTCACCCCTGTCGTAGAATTATAGTAGTAGGGCGTGCCATCATCCGCATGGAACTCCTCCCAACTATCCGGCAGAGCCTCCCTTGCCCTCTTGCCCGATGGGGTCTCCCCATCGCCCCTCCGACTGTCCATAGCTATAGGCAGCTCCCATTGAGTGACCCCCGTCGTAGAGTTATAATAATAGGGAGTACCATCATCAGCCTTCAGCTCCTCCCATCCCACTAGCAGCTCCACCCGCCGAGGTTGTTTCCCTGGCCGTTCCCACTGTGTCACCCCGGTACTCTCATTATAGTAATAGGTGGTACCATCATCCGTCTTGAACTCCCGCCACCCCTCGAGCACTACAGCTGTGTCCTCTCCCCCCTCCTTACTAGCTTCTATAGAGGCCTCAGCGACAGTCGACTGCGTAGTCCCCGTAACACGGTTCTGCTCCAACCCCACCGGCACCTCCTCACCTCCTCCTGGCCTCTCCCACACCGTCTTACTAGAGGCCTCATGATAGTAGTACGGGGTCCCATCAGCTGTGCGGAACTCCTGCCAGCCTTCTGGGAGTGTCCCCGGCCTCTCCCACTGTGTCACCCCAGTAGCCTCATTATAGTAGTAGCTGCTACCATCATCCGCCCTAAACTCCTGCCATCCTCCTGGCAGACTACTCCCCGTGGGTTTCTCCCACTGTGTGTGCCCAGTGGCCTTATTATGATAATAAGGAGTCCCGTCCTCAGTCCGGAGCTCCTCCCAACCCTCGGCCACTCCCAAGCCCCCCGTCTCCTCTGTCCGCTCCACTGTTGCTATCGGTCTCCTCTCAATGGGAGATGGCCTCTGAAAAGCACAATAACAACAGCTAGTCCATGAGCTCCTTACCTGCGATGGTGCTATCGTTCCAGAGGTGTGCATGGCCTCGTCAGTAGTCAGACGATTTCTGAGCCTGTTGCTGTCTATTGGCATCCACTCGTCCCACCGGGAGTCCCATGCGTCGAACCCTACCAAGACCCTGTTGCCTTCACTATCGACCTGAAGGAAGTGATACTAGACCGACATGGAGAGCGAAGGAGGAGATCCCAAGAGAGTCAATAAGGGAGGTGGCAAGGCCATCGCATGTCGCACAAGCATCGAGGGAATTAGATTTCAGGGCCTCCCAACGGCAAGGAGGTTTGAAAGTGAAGTACCACAAACTGCTCTCTTTAGAGGTTCTGTATAGTCCATTCCTCAATACTCAAGAAGGCCGACCCCAAACTACTAGCCCCATGACTCCACTAACCATCTCCTAGTTAGAATCGAGCCGGAGTTACCTCCTTAACAGTGGCATCCCACCAGAACTTGTGCCATTCAACCGAGAGCTCCGACCTAGGCTTCAGGGCTTGCCGATGAGCTTCCATCAGTCCACCTATTAAGGCGATCGATCATCTTCCCCCCTCCCTCATCCGAGGCATCCCCACCAGTTTCATTCTCCCCCAACCTCACGGGCATTCTAACCTTATGCCTCCCCGCCAAAGAGGCCCCAACAGCCGTAGACAACAGCCGACAACGTCTGTTGTAGAAGGGAATTCTGGTCACTAACACATTGGAGAAGCGCATAGTAGTGAGGCTGGCCAGCTTAGCAAGGCCATCTATAGACCTGTGAGGCAGTAGTAGCATAATACACCAATAAAACGAATGATAAACTAATGGAAAAACATAGCCACTTACCCTAAGGAGGTAAGTCACTGCAACACAACCTTCTTTTCCCTAACACCAGGGTAGTAAGTTCAAACATGATAAAGAAGACGTCAACTTGACGTCCAACAAGGGACTCACTGACCGACTCTTCTATTTGGCCTTCAGACTCTCTGTTCCCCTCTACAACAGGACACAGTGGTAATACCTACACCTCCTCGAACGGTTAAGACTACTTTGTCGTGGTGGTGGCCCTCATCTCCTCGGGTTTCCAATACTTAGATCTATACTCGCTAGACCGTAGTAGAGGCAGCTTTATAGCATCTGAGGAAGCACCTGATGAGATGGTAACAGCACCCTAGGTCCAGGCAAGTATTGATGACTCGGTAGAGGATCCCTCCCTCCTCGACTGATGTCTCCCTTGTGCAAAGTAGCCAATACCAGGCTAGACGCGGCGTCACTATCCCGACGCCGCACCTCTACTGTGTTGAACATGCTAACAGAATTGGATACTACCATACGAGTCTAGAAAAGGCCTACCGATTTCTGATAGTTGGATGGAGCTCTTGAGGCGACAGTCGGGTTTGGGGCGCCCTCTTTCCAACTAAGAATAGCTCACAGGCATCCCTACGTTGCATTAGGTGGTCGAAGTGCTCCCTAATAGTAAAGTATAACTTGCCAGTGGTAGTGGCGCCCACTTGATGCGTTTGGTTGTGGCGTTTGCCTCAGCTGCCATCCCTTTATCAACAAGTAATGAAGTCTTCCTCAATGCTTCTTGCGCTAATTCAATTTCCTTTAGGAGCTTCCTATTAAGACGGCCCTGCTACGGAGGGTGACCACACCTCCCCCCTAAGATAGGTTGTCCCTACTTGTGACGGTGGCTCCCCTATGTAGTTCCGCTGTACGCCCTTGGCCCTATCAAACTCTCTAGCTGACATCATCTCATCCCTGGCTCGCTGAGAAATCACTGATACACAGTTGAGGAGGCCCAGTGTTGGAGGAACATATGTTCACTCAGAAATAAGAGGAGTTTATGTACGGCTTCGGGTAGAAGTGATCAGAAACCAACAGAATTCCACAAAATTTCCATGTGCATATTCTCCCACACTGCTCGAAGAGGCATCAAACTCGACTAGAATTTTATCATCAATCCTTGAGCTGCGTAAGAAGGTTAGCCTCACCTGAAGAGTTGCAGCGTTCATCCCAGTGGCGTAGCAAATCTCGTCGCTGTTGTTGTAAACAGTGTTGGGAACTCCAACAGGGTAGTAACTAGCACCAGAGCATTGCTTCACGAAAGCGAGGTCCAGTGGATATTTTAAGGCCCACTAATAAGAGTCAACAATAGAACGACTGCCGTCTCTGTGTAGAGTAAGAGACGAGATTCACTTTGTAGGCTTCCAGCAGGCAGCGGTCCTCCTATGTTTAGGCAGGGAGCCCTCGAACTTCCTTATGAACTCCTCCTGATGCAGTCCGTATGATGTGGCCGTCCATGTGTTCCTGCTATGCATCTTCTTCAGATGAGGAAACTGTTTCGCAAGGAAGCCACGAGGCGTTAGGAAACTCTTTAAGAGCGCAAGAACTCGCAAGATTTTGTTAATATCATCAACGCTTTCAACGGTGCAGTAGACACACATAAGGAGTGACATCACACTAGAGAGTGCATGCGATGCATGAACTTGTCTAGTCTGATATGTGAGGCCTGATGTTACTCTCTCAGAGACCCAAAATTAGGATTGTGTATCTTCCCCTTTGACTCGAGAGCTCCGAGACTTCTCACTGCAGTGGTGCCATATGTGTTGATAGTTGTTGCTTCCATCAAGCGTGCTTAGTAGTACTCTATCACTCCAACAGGCCGATCTAAGCCTCCTAGTCGTTACTCTATCATCTAGTATCACAATAACCGTCTCTTGTTCAACGATATTGTTTTCTGTAACTCGTCATAGGATTGTGTTTGTACGGGGAGAGCTGTGGTGACTCGCAGCAGAGTGCGCCGCAGTCGTCGTAGTGGGTGGTCCATCTGAAAATCTCCTCCTGCCTCGTGTAGGCTGGTGAGCACATCCCAACCTCTGTCCGTTTTAGCTGTCGATCTGTTGTGATACAAACTCAAATCTATGCGTAAACCTGACCGCATACCTACCAGAGATCCGCTTTTCCAGAGGGGGAAATCAGTAAGTATGATGTAATAGCGTAGTAGTTATGAGTTCCGTTTGGTGGTGGAAAGGTTCAGGGTTCTAATCCTTGCAAGAGCTTTTAAGCCTATCATCGTGATAACTCGTCATGAAGTTGATGCTTATGGACAGCATTGTGCCCATCAGGTGACCGAGAACCTCACTCTCTCTCTAAACCTGAACTTGCGAGCTCCAAATCATACTGTACGCAGTCGAGCAGCTGAGCAAGTCCACTCACGAGCCCGCCAAGTTGTCTATGATGTTACCACTAAAGGTGAGCGCCCCTACCTAGGTGAACACAGCGTGTGGTGACCAGGGGCTCGCCTCAATGAGAATAAGAAGGCTGTCTTCGACATCGACATCGATCATCTACGGTCCCTAGCTAGACTCCGGAGAGGTATGCATCCAGTTGGATGTAGAGTAGAGTTGTTGGGCTTAGGGGCGGCTCAGTCTCACGTAGATAGGTGTCGAGAGGGCCGACGAGCAATTGAGGATTCCTCCTTGAGGTTTCGGCAAGAGGTGAGGGGCTGATCTCCATACCACGTTCTGAAGGCCTGGCAGGTGCTGAAGGAGCAGCAACACCTGTATCGTATTGATAAGCACTATGGTAGCACAGAGGAGGAGCGCTTCCAGCTCAAGGTTCGGCATGGGCCTCTGGCCAGGAGTGTGAGCTTGTTGACCATACCCATCAGCCACAGCTTTTATGCAGGTCTCCCAGAAGTTGCTAAGGCAAGAAAGGGATGAGGTCGGCTATCAGCGACCTGCCAAGAAGCGAGGACAGCGTGGTGGGAAGTCCGCAGGCTCCAAGAAGACGTATCTGCCGAGTTGCAGCCGCTACTCTTATCATCGAGTCGTTGGTATGCTCTATCAGGACGTGGGTGAGGAAACACCCAGGTTATGAAGACTTGGATCAATTGATGATAACTCGATCGCCGCCCTCGCTCGTGTATGGGCATCCCCATTCTAAGACCATGGGGAAGCTCTCGGCCGTGCGCTCATTCTTGGAGACTCATTCAGCGTAAGGGCTCCTAGGCTTTAGTTGGGCGGAGCGATGCTCGAAATGTAGGTATTCGGACCGGCGCTGGCTCCAGCCCATGTCCCTGCCCATAGCCGGCTATAGGGTGTATTCTCCGCTCACCGAGAGGCAGGGTTTGCTCTTGCCCTATCACAACTCGAGAGATAACACCACAGCACACATAGCTGCGGCTAGTGGGAAAGTACCGTCATGGTGTCTGCTCTTTTCGATCACCTCCATCGTGCTCAGGCTGCCGTTCTCGAGAAGCTACTGCAGTCCTCGAGTGGGAGTACTTATCCATACATGTTTGATGCTTCTGTCAGGTACCAAGTCCGACAGTGGTGATCTCATTGTGAATGCTGTGAACAGCGATGGCGCTACGCCCCTCCACCTAGCTGCCGACGGAGGTAAGGAGTTAGTCGGCTGTGACAGCAGTGTTGGCCCTCAGGAAGACTCTTATTGGTGAACCTTCTACTGCAGCACGGAGCAGATGTCGGCCTGACGACCAACGCTGGTGACACGGCACTTAGTATAGCAGTGCAGAGGAAGCAGTGGATCATTGCTGGAGCTCTTGTTGAGCACGTCGGGAAGGTAGACTACCTCCACCCTCGAGTGGCTGTTCGTATGCTTACCCTCACATAAGGGCTATATTGAAGAGGAGGCGAGGGAAGGGGAGGTCGACATTGTTGGTCGGAAGAACTCACAGGTGAGCTCCTAGGTGTACTGCCTTGTCAGGGCTCCTCAGGGGGTTCGCCCGATACACTATGCTGCATGGCATGGCAATAAGGATATCGTGGAGTTACTTATCGACAGTTCAGCAGATAGTGACGTAGAGGACCCCTTTGGGTACTCGTCCAGGCAGCTGTTGAGTCGTACACTGTCGGGTATTAGGAACACTGCGATGACCATTGCCGCTTACTGGGGGGATCTGCCCGTGTGTGCGTTGTTGCTATCGAGAGGAGCAGCGAAGGACTCCACCAACTCTCAAGGTGACCACCGCTGAAAATTAATCGTCTTTTCTACTACTCCAGGGCTAACACCGTTGCATGTAGCAGCAGGCAACGGGCATATGGACTGCGTTAGAGCACTTGTCGATGCTGGAGTGAGTACGTTGCTGGGCACTCTGCGGTGATCGCTCTCGCTCAGGTAGATATCAATGGCATTCCAGAGAAGGATAAGGCATGCGCCACTTCAGTTGCCTTGGCGGCCAGATTGACACCTCTGCAGAAGCAGGTTCCGACCCCTGCAGAGCTGGCCTTGCTCCATGGGCATCTGAAGACCTTCGAGTAGCGCCCACTGGCCTGATCTTCTTGATTCAAGCATAAGGTACCTGATAGCGCGCGGTGCTGCTGCTGCTGCTGATGTCGAGGAGGCTGTAGAAGATGTCATACCGCGTCCCTTGCCCCCCATAAAGGCTAAAGTCAGCGCCCCTGGGAGTAGGCCAGCGACCACCTCAGGTGGGCGAGCTTCTATTGACTCATCTCTTCGTCATGTCGTTGTTATGAAGGTCGGCAGAGGTGGCGGGGAGGCGCACAGCGGAGCCATCTTTGTGAGGGTGAACTGCATAAGTTCCCATGGAGTGATCCTATGAGGAAGGAAGAGATCATTCATTCAATACAGAATATGAAGGTTTGGCCAGCTAGTAGGGACCTTCGTGGTATGGGTTTTCTCGAGCATCATCCCCACAGGTGTCGGTATGGACACTGGCAGCCTCTGGGTGGTCGAGAAAGGTGGCCAACAGAGGAAGTCCAACAGGCCACGGAAAGGTCGCCCTGTTACTGCCGCATGATACATTATCAGACCTACCGTTGTGGTTCATAGAGTGTTGTGTTGTTCAGTTAGAGCTGATCCCCATCACCAGCTGTGGATGCTGCTGCTATTAGATTCGGGAGTGTGTCGAGGAGGATGCTGTTCTCTTCGGCAGTAGCAGCTGCTGAAGTCTTGAGACACTCGTACGAGTTCAGAGGTGATCACCTTGTCCTCAATTCGCAGGGCATTCCTGCGAGTTCCTAGCTGCCGTGAGTATGGCCACCTCCAACTGAACCCTACAACATCCTGAGAGCCCTTGGTAGGGGAGTGTGTGAAGTACACAAGCCTATTGGTAGCCTGGGAGTTGGTGCCCTTCCATGTTCAACGATGACTCAAATGATGTTGAGCAGCTACCATCGAGTCAACGGGGTGTCACCACCGTCAGAGGTCTCTAATTGAGCCATGTCATCGTCTCGCCTCGATGCGCCTACTCCCGCGAGAAATAGTGATTGATGCTACTATCTGTGGGGGTGTTGCGATATGACTTGCCACAGCGCACGCGATTGATATCGATTCCGTAGGAACGCAATACTGGCTTACTGTCGCTACGTTTCATGACTTTATCACTTCGGCGTTGCCCGGTCCATTCCATACGTACTAGGTCGTGATTGATCAGATGGCTGCTGGGTTAAACCCAATGGAGAATAGTTGATGTATGGGTGCATAGGAATATCGGTCGAGCTTTTCCACGATGGATCGTTGGTGGCTCATCCGCAAGGTAAGGCCAGAGGGAGATAAGACAGTCGTGGCGGTTCGTGGATGGGCCCTCTATGGTGATGATGATTAGGCCAATGCCACTGGCTGTCAATATTCAACTGTCATCGAACGGTTACTTCGAGAATACTATTATGATCGACAACAACAAGAACAGAGGATGCTGAACTGTGAAATCCTCCAAGCGTGTGGTAGGTGCAGATCTTTGTGATGTTCACTACGGTGTGAGACAGACATGGATGGGATGTTCTACTAAATCTTCTCTATCGCCGCGTTAGTGGAGTACATCGGGATAAGGAGGCGTCAGTGATCCATCGTGGAGGTTGATCGATCCGCTCGAGCCTGCACTAGGCTTCTATCAACGTAGGCCTAGTCTGACGACTGAGCTCCGCTTCGGTGATAGGGTCAAGGATATTAATATGCCCACTGATTGTATCGATCTCTCGGCATCTTATGTCGTGTATTATTCCTAGCCAACGAGTCCATTGGGCGTCTGCCTGTGCTTTCCTACTCCTACTGTGGGACCGGGGTGCGTGGTGTCTTTACTACTAAAGTTGTTTTACACTCCCTAACATCTACATCTAGGATGGTGACTATCTACCACATAAAAGCTTCTCTAGGCGTCTCCAGCCCCTTCCCCGTCTCGTCGGACTCCAACTTCCTCGTTTGCTACTATCACGTCTCTCCCTGCTTGCCCTGCCCAAGTAGCTGTTCCTTTTTTAACAGTGGATGCCCCCGGTCCACCACCCATGGAGCCTAGTCATGGTATTCATGGTGTTCTCGCTCCGGTCAGCTTTGTCTGTTCTGGACCTGGCCATTGTGATACCAACCGCACCTAAGGAGACCCTCAGGCGTTGCAATGTTCGGGACAGTTGGAAGTGGCAGTTGAAAAAATACGGAGTAGGCCACAACTCCTCGACAACTCCATCATCTACGTCGTTTCAGAGTGCTGGCAGTAAGAGGTCGATAAAACTCTATTTCATCATTGGAGATAGCACTGGGCTCTATGCTAGCGACAAGAAGACTTTGGAGGAGGAGAAGAATCAATACGGTAGAAGGTCTTGGTAGCGGTGACCATGATTAGGCGAGCGTGCGGTATAGGTGACATTCATGAGCTACAGGGCTTTACAGATGAGTATGATCGTCTCGGGGAGAAGATGTTGGAAATCTTCAAAGTGTGTTCTGGTATATTTGGAGAGTAATGGTGACGAAGACTTTTATGAAACCACCGAGTGCGGCGTTGCTGCAGGTATAAGCTTCTGCTGAAAACGGACACAGACAGCTACATTCACGTTGATAGGCATGTCACGTTGCCCGAATAGGTCTCCAGCACTTGGCCGTCGCTTAGGTTGGTCACTCTTCTTGAGGAGAAGGAGGCCTTCGACATCCCTAGGGTATATGCGGGTACGTTCTGGGGTGGTCTGCCTATCCTTCAGCCGTCTCTAAAGGAGGCTACTGGCATGGAGAACTACCCTGTGAATGCCCGAGGTGATAAGCCCCTTCCCATCGACTGGGACGGCGCTATCTCCTCAGGAGCTGGGTATATTCTCTCACGAGACTTGGTGGACTTGATGGCGAATACCCCTGTACCGTTCAAGCACGTCGAAGCGGAGGATGCTATGATTGGCACTTTTCTCGCCCCTTACGAGTAATCATCGTAGGTCCTCGAAGTGATGCTATTGTAGGCAGGGACCCATCTGGCTTTGAGAAATAACACCTCCTAGGGGTTGATAACTATAGAGAAAATACTCCTCACGTGATGACATTTACTGATGAAAAACTGATTGAGTTCCCCCAGGGAACATTATAGGTTCCTGGATGATTACCTGATCGTAGATACACCCGCATCGACTTCAACGTATGCCCCTTGACCCCACAGTGCGGTTGTGCTATTACCTGCAACACGGACACCCAGTAGTCACTGCCGTTAGCTCTGTATAGGGTATAGGGTACTCCTTCAGTGAGACGGCTGAGAGCGTCTATCAAGTGGACCATTATAATACTCCCGAAACTCTACGATGGAAGCAAAGACGATATGAGCTTTTCGGTGATTCGTGTTGGCGAGTGGACTATCCTGCAGAGTCCTCATGTGGGAGGGCTGTCCTCAGGGCGAACTCGCATGAGTGAGAACCCCATAGTTATGCCTAGTGATTTGACTCTTAGATATTACTTTGATGCTGTCACTACTGATGTTCTTCATGAGGGCATCATCGTACCTGACCATACGAGTACCAGAGTTGGAGTTTGCCAGACTTCTTTCGAATGGCAGACCTCTGCTGATTGGGGTCCATGCTCCCGAGAATGTGACGGGGGGATCCGTACCAGGTTGGAATTCCTCATCGATAGCTGCTTTACAATTATGTAGCTCTTTAGATGCGTACACTGTACTGGCCCTTCCGGGTATGCCTATGATCATATAGATTGTAATGCTTCTACTAAGCCATCTGCAGAGGAACCCTGTAACACCCACTCCTGTTCGACGGGGGACTTCATGAATAGGAGTGGCAATTCATGGAGGGCATCCTCAAGAGGCTTCCTCCTATTAATCTTGTCCCTTGTCACTATTGGAGTAGTACTGGCCGCCGGAATCTGCATGTATGTGATGAGAAGGCGACGCAGTGGAGGCACTGTTCCGATCGGAGACTCAGCCCCTCAGGAGTGACCTGCGGATGTATCATGGGCTTCTTGCCACTATCATCATGGTGCTCCTGCCGGCTGCCGCCATATGCAATTCAACTAGTGTGACGTGAGCGGGTCCATCTGGAGCCTATGTGACGACTCAAGGCTTTCTAGTGTACTGTTGCTGCTTTTGGCAGTATTTGGTAGAGTAGGGTGAGTCCACCTCTACCAGTGTGATCTGTAGGGGTATCATATAATCTACTACTTCTACCACCACCATCATTGTTGAGTTATTGTTGCTGTTGAGTAGGGTGCTAATGGGGTGCTAATGGAATCATAGAGTTGCTGTAGGTGATATCTCCTACAGAGGGAGGCTAGACGGAGACTACACGGGTAGTCTGTGGAGTTCGCTCTTGCCATGGGAATTAATAGAACCCCAGAAGTGACTCTAAGCCTTTGAGTCACTTGTCGGGTAGTTTACAACAACCAAGGGCTCAGAGTCGAAGCCTTTGGTAGGGATAGAGAGGACGTATTGGGATCCTCTTATACCACCGCTCATTGTCAAGGTATCAATAGGTTCAACTAGGTAAGATGCAGAATAGGTCCAATTATGGCATCCTCCTCCTCCTCCTCTTCAAGTCGGGATGTCCCTGTCACTATCAGCAACAGCAATAACAACAACAACAATGCGCCCAGTCTGGACGACTACCGGTAGTAGCCGTTATCGCTGCCCTCTACACTGGTGAGGTCTCCTCAGTCAGCGGCACCATCGAAGGTACGAGGAGCGGGAGGTGGAAGCGGCCAGAGTGGAACAGGAGGTAGTAGTAGTACAGCTCCAGAGGCAGCGTTGGTGGATTTGCTGGTCAGGACTCGGACTGGGAGTTAGCGAGGACGTTGCAGTGCCATGAGGAGCTGCGACTGCAACAAGAGATGGATCTAAAGCATGCTGAAGAGGTCCATCGTGTGCAGGAGATGGAGCAGAGGCAGAGGGACCACCTCGCTGGGCTTGCGGTTGACGAACATCTTCCTGATGATAGTGGCATTCGACGGTGAGAAGGAGTAGGAGGGGATCTGTCCGTTTTAAGGAGTCATTGTTAGGCCTATGAGGACTGGTTACACTGAGCGCCTCATTGATGATGGGGAGTACACCATTGGAGAGGAAAGGTGGACGGCCTTCCCGCCTTCCTCGAACGATGCCTTTCATTCAGTGCGGCCCCCTGGTGTCCACTCCTAGGCTTGTTCCGCTCGTCTGCTGTTAGCGAGAGAGAGCTGCTACCTCTAGGGGATCCAGATGAGGAGAACCCTTCGGAGAATCCAACCACACGCCGGCTCCTCATCAACAGACGAGGCTTTGGTCCAATAAGGTGTCATTGTGGAGGTCAACTTGAAGTGTCACTGTCTTCACAGGTGGATTAACGCGATACTCACGGATGCCTCCCCCAACGCTTGGAGGTGTTTTGGTGGCGGTGACTGTTGGTGCACTAAGCGGATCCTCAGTGCTTGCCTAATGCTACTCACTGTGCTCCTCATGCTTTTCATTGTAGTGGCCATCGCTGTTATCGATGTGAACTTGATAGCATACTAGAGGTTTCTTCTTAATTCTATCGTCAGTGTCGAGCTGAAGTCAAACTCGCCTGTCATCAGTGTTGGGGTAGGAATATATGTCCGCTGCCCTCAGCTGAGCTCAGAAGAGTTTAGGGTAGGAGTGTACAGAATCCAACAATAATCTCCTGAAATTTTCTCAGAATTTTCGTATTTTTGCCTACACATGTAGACTACATGTCCATGCGCATATTTTCCCTTTGAACCTGTCGGACCCTATTCATATGCGTCGTCGTGATGCGCTGATAAAGAGATCTGTGGGGGATTACATACAGTGTGGAGGGGAGGGGACGGCATAATGTGGCCTTGGAACAGGAAAACGATCTGTTGAAGTCTGAGTATACGGGAACTCCACAAGGCATGCCAGTAGCCCTCCTGTTAGTTTGCAGTCCTCATCTCGGGGGTGCCCCTTGAGGACCACTACTACCGACAGAACTGAGCTTTGGACAAGGCCGGTGTAGTGAGTGCTTGTATGAGTAGGATATCATGGACTCACACCTAGCCTCTCTATGTTGGTGTTGGGTTGCAGACCAACTCCACTATTGTTGCTCCCACCGTATTGATGGTCAGAAAGTCCGAGTTTTCACGGTGCCTTCAGGGTCTACATACAATGTCTGCTCTGTCGCCTCAGCTGTCTCCCATACCAAAACTTCAAGCAGGTTTCGGAGCAAGTCGACGCTCAGTGACCTCCAAAACAAGGACGAGTTTACGTGAGCACAGAAGGCGCGGCTTTGCATGTAGAGCTCCTCTCAGGAAGGCGGCCTACTGTCGTCATTGACATGGGCTCTCACACGTGGAAGGTAGCGTGGGCGGTTGCTTACTGCCCTATGTCGGGCATTACCCTAGGTTGGTCACGCTACCGAGAGTAGGCCGCGATGGAGAATCCGAACACCTCATGATCGTTGGGAAGATTGGACGCCAGATGAGCTCGAGAGATTCCTTGGGCATGTAAAGACGCCTTTCCCAGTGGAGATCAGTGGGAAAATATGCGCATGGTCAACTGCACGTGTTGGTGACAATATGAAAATTTTGGGGAACTCTCGTTGGTTTTCATACACCTCTACCCGAATTCGTATGTTAACTCCTATATCTAGTGAGAAAATTTCTGAGCTCAGCCGAAAAAAGCGAAAATTCACATTCAACATTTTCTACTGCAGACTGATCTAACTTCAGATCCTGCTTGATCGACTTCTATTGAGCCCACCTGCCGACGCTGACGCCTGGAGTGATACGAGGGTCTTGATTCTAGAGAACATGTTCACACCGCTATACATCCGTGAATCGGTACGCCAGTGGGGGAAAATGTGCAAATTATTAACCACATGTGTTGGCGACAACATGTGAGGAAATTTCGGGAAATCTCTACTGTTGGTTTTTGTGCACTTGTGAACGATTTCGTGTGTAAACTTGCACAGTAAGTGAGGAAATTCCTGAGGCCAGCTGAAAATTAGCGATCATATATTCCAACGCTGCAGTTCGCCATCACCGCTCAGGTCTCTAACATGTTGGCTCATCGGTTCCGATGTAAGTGGAGGATGATAACACTAGGGGCGCCACTGAGCCTGTAGGATGATCAGCGTCTGGGGGGCGTTAGGGGCGTGTTAGGTACGTCATTGGTCAGCCTACTGCTCTCGTAGTGGATATGGGGTACAGCTCCAGCCGGATCGTGCCAGTTTTTGCGTGCATGCCTGTCATGGAAGCTGCTGTCGAATCTGAGGCGAGTGCTGTGAGGCTTTCCTGATCAGCTCATCGACTGGCTGCTCTCTCTCGCAGATGGTACGGGCAGAACCAATTGGCGAGGACCGGCCGGAGGATGGTCTCCGAGAGTTGGTGAGATACATGTTGCGATACACGGATCATAACTCGAGACTCAGGTTGTCACAGCAATGGAGGAAGCCATCGTGAAATGCCCTATTGACGTTCGTCGGCCGGTAGCATCGAAGGTCTACTTCGTGGGAGGCAGATCTGGAGATCCCTCACTGAAAGCTGATATCCTCGAGGAGTTCGCGTCACGGATCTCTCCCAAGTGGAACACTCATGGGGAGAACAGAAGCTTAGCTGTGTACATTAGGTTGCCCAACTTCTCATCGGAAAGCATCACAGTGTTCCAGCCAGGCAGTTGTCTGGAGCCCACTGATTTGATCTGGATTGGAGCCTCGATATACGGAGGTGAGCGCAGGGAAGGCATGGCGTTAGCAGAGGGTCTCAGTAGGGATGCCGATACCCCACCCGGCGACGAGTAAGGGCACAGGGGCTGAGTCGATGGGAATTCGTGTCACTAATTGGCTTAACACCTTTCAATAGTATCTTAATACATGTTTCATGAGCCCTGAGGAGGTTGAGTTACTCACCAGTACTCTGACGTGTAGTATTCATAGAGTTCACATTACGGCCATGTGGCACATGGGAATTGGCCATCATTGTGCGATCAAGACTCATAGAGCGCATCACCAATCATAAGATCTAACAACAGTGCATCGAGGGGCCTTCGCACTGCGGATGCCGAGTGTACATTCGATCGTACTGTTGTGTGAAGTTCTGACCGTAACTCATCCGAAAATTGAGGAAGTACTGAAGTTTGCCATTGTGAAGAACTTTGTAGCACTCTATGTTGTGGACAACTTCCTAGTTGCCAACCACTCCAGAGGTAGCACACGCATCGACGCCATATACATCTACTATACAACATTGTTGATAGTTTACAACATACAACAAGTTTATTTTGGTTGATAGTTTTTGCGTGATGCGTAACATAAAACTTGAAGGCTGACGACAGTCTCACGATTCAAGCAAAAGGATGTTTTCTATGGATGATGAAGGAGAGCCACATGAGAAGCGAGTTGCAACTTAGAATGACGATGCTCATCTCACTGCCAGTGATGATGCTCGAAACTAACGATTTGAGAGGGTTTTTCAGATGGAATACTCGCGTGCCATGTCAGCATGATGAACAAAAGCTTCCGAATACTTCGCTGTCCACGTCATGTCGATCATACGTATTGTGACCACCAGCTACCATTGCGGCTGTTGGTCTGCCAATGATTCCGTCCATTAGAGGAGCAACGCGGAGGAGTCAACTGCACTTGTACGGACTCCGTACTACGGAGATGCCTTACACCATTTTCAACACGAACAGATGACAATCGGTACAGCTTTTACACTTTATATTCGTTAACCAAAGTTAATTGCGACACAGTATGAGCCGATGTGAGATATTTCCATCCATCATTAAGAGATTGAAATTTCGCCTCGAAATACCAGAATCCAAAGGGATTCGGGAACACTGGTATGATTACAACACGACGGGAGTCTCGTATTGAAATAACTTTGAGAGCACTGACATTACGACAATCTTCGAATGAAAAAAGCAAGCTCATGATAGGTCGAGTGTCGCTGACTTGATGACAGGTCGATCCTCGCAGCGATTAAGTACCGGAAGAGTATCACAACTCAGCCTCATCATCCGCCTCAGCCGTCTCAAAGTAAGCGTCGCTTTCGGAAAAGATCGGTACACCGTTGGGGCGGAAAGGCGGGTTGAACACTCGGATGCGGTTGGCCGGAACTCGACCGATGGCGTCAATTTGTTCCTGAAGATCGCTCTAGCAACATGATGGGAGAAATAGGTGTCACCATTTCTTGTGGAGTGAGCTCGAAATCGAAGACCTTGAAGTTCTCGACAACACGATGAGGTTTGACGCTTTTGGGAATGACGATCGTGCCCCGCTGCAGAGCCCATCGAATGGCAACCTGAATTCATCGTACTGCAACGACTGAGTCACTGGAACTTGGCAGGCGCAGCGGCATTGAACCGTTCCTCATCTACTCCTCCGAAGAGTTGCAAGCGATAGATATGCCACCACCTGAGCTGGCGTCTTCCCATGCCGCTTGGCGATCTCAGTGACAACAGGAAGTGTCAAGATGTTTGGCTTTGGCGTGTCACCATGTGGCCTAAATGGCTGGTAGCGACCAAGGGGTTTCAACAGGCTCCTTCTACTGGAATCCCGGGTTTCCGAGCGGGGCATAAGCAACGATTTCTATTCCGCGCTTCTTACAGAACTTGATGAGACGCTCCTGAGGCCACAGTGGATGAACCTGAGAACATAACAGAAGTTCTCAAGAGCAATTGAGAGCAACCATACCTCAACCTGATTCACGACAGGCTTCACTCTCGCCTCGCTCAGCAGCGAATCGATTTCATTTTGTTCGAAGTTGCTGATGCCGATACTCCTGATCTTGATCAGAAGTAGGCGCAGCTCGTGAGAGGACCAAGACGCACCTTCCCCTCGTCGTATAGCTTCTCGAGCTCCTTCCACGTGTCGATGATGTTGATGTTCATATCGGCGGCGAAGTGGCCCTCTGGCGTCTGTGGCATCAACCAGTCGGGACTGCGAATAACGAACGACAATAACGCTCTTAGAATTCAAGCAGGAGTGCCAACAATACGTGTTCGGCTACTTACTCGTCCTTCGGATCACGATATTCAAAAGGTAAAGACCAGTGTAGTAGCATTTGATCGACGTAATCAACCCCGAGCTCCTCGAGCATTTGGCCAACCGCCGGTCGAACGAGGTCAGGACGGAAGTGTGTCATCCACAACTTGGTGACGAGGAAGATGTCAGCTCGAGTAACGATACCCTCTTGGATGGCTCGTTTCAGCGCCTCGCCGACCCCACGATGGTTCTGGTACCTACTTTGACAAGCTCGACCACGTCCGACATACTTTATTCAGCTTCTGACTCGCTGTTTTCTCAAAGTCGACCGTGTGATTACGAAATGAACGACATGTACATGATATTGATGGAGATTCAGTGTAATCATTGGCGGTGATGCGACAGCCCCTTTACGCACACAAAAGCAGTGTCGATGTGCCTGTATCCAGCAGCGATGGCAGCATACACCGCATCAGCAACTTCGTCGTCAGGGGCTAGAAAGGTACCAAGGCCGATCACAGGCATTTTCACGCCATTATTGAGCGTGATTGAAGAGCTCTGAGAGTAAGCAACTGATATCGTCCAACTGAGTCTTCGCAAATACCTGGTCCAGGGACGATACGACAACGCCGGCCAGCAGGCAAAGGAGGGATAGGATGATCATTATACTCGAGGAATCGGAGACTAACCACACGAATCAATGAGAAGTTCACAGAGAAAGCTGAGGGACGACTTGATCCCTACTGTCCCTGTAGTGACGAATCTATCAGTCAATGCGTCAAGCGTCAACAGCATACAAAGTACCGCACCTGCTGGGAGGTTCACCATGTACTCGCGCACCTCTAGCAGGGGGTATTCGATGAAAATGGTCAAGGATCGACGAGCCTACTTATCGCCGATGCGTAGCCGGTGGTAACGGCTCGTTACTATAAGATACGCTCAGATGTGCATGCGTGCGTAACTATTGGCCTGTAACTTAGGAACTGCTCCTTAAGGCGCGCCTTAAAAAAAGGAATTCCTTACGCTCCTTACTTGAGGAGCGCTTCCTTATAACTTTCCATTTTTAAGGAGCGTAAGGAATGCCTACTTTTAAGGTACGCCTTAAGGAACCTGAGGACCTGCTCCTTTGCACGGCGTGCCAGCCGCGGGCGCGAACGCCGAGGATATGCGCATCTGAAACTGTCAGCCATTCCATTTGAATTACCATGAGAGCAACTAAAGTTTTGACTGATTTTACGGATTATCGCTTAACTACTTGTTGGCTATAGACCGATTAATCCTCTAGTGTCTACACTAGACTCTGTGACTGTGACTAGTAAGACCACTACTAGCATTTGAGCCACTACTACTGGAACTATAGACTACTATTGCTCAAGCTCTAGAAGCGTGCCTTTGTGTTCGACTAGTGTTTTGGTCTACTCGGATTGAGTTCTTACGTACTCCATTCGGAAGATCGCAGGATCGGTCCCTGCGGGGCGCACTTCGGGGTTCGGTAGAAATGTTGTCTTGGTTGGTATGTCTTGGGGAGGTCGCAGGATCGATTTCTGTTGCCGATACTCTCGGTTTTGGCCTCGTAAGTCAGGGTTAGGTTGAGCCGGACCAACCTTACGCTCCTTAGGCTATTTCCTTAAGGACCTCAAGGAGCGACTCGTAAGTGTTATAAGGTGCAGCTCCTTGGCCTCGTTCCTTAAGGATCTTACGTAAGATCCTTATTCTCCTAATTTTAAGGAATCCTTACGCTCCTTAGCCTCCTTAGTTATAAGGAGGCGCTCCTTCCTCAAGGATCTTGCGCTCCTTCCTTAGGGAAGGCCTCACAAGTTACAGGCCCTAGATCATCATATCCCACAATAGAGTAGAAGTATATGATACTCCTACCCTAGCACTCAGTGTACAAGTCCCAGAACTTCAGGAGCAACTTAGCGCTCACCGATCTTCTCACCAGAAGGATTGAAACTACGTAGAACTATCACAAAACTCATGAAGCATGAGCACGCCGGATTCGAGATTGCGACTTCAGCATAATTCACTGATTTCGCCCACCTTCCCTGTGCGTGAACACTCAATCATTGATGGTTCGACTGCCTTACAGTTTCAGGACAAGTATCATCGTGACACAGTTAATGTATAACAGTCGGAAGTGTATCGTACGACTCAATGAGATTAATGAACGAACTCTAGCGCGAGTAAATCAGCAAAAACAACTGTGGTATTCGACCTTAGTTTAGGCCATCGCTATCCGCTATTGCGTATATGCTACCTCTTGCCCACCACAACCACCCATTAACGCAGGGACTTAATCAGTCGGAAACATATGTACAGCTCACACGTTACAAGAAAAAAGGACAACTAAAGGGCAATAGCTTATATGTAGAGTAGAGCGAACTATCTCCCACTGCTTTCTGAGGCGTATCGTTGATATGCTGCCAGGTGACAACAAAGGTTATAGTGGAGCCCTATTAAGAGGAAGGACTCTCGATAGCATATATCCATCCAACCGAGAGGATAGTTTTCCGTGCAGATTGTGGTTACGTAACACGAAGAGAATGCAACAAGGGTTTTTGCCAAGATTTTATTGGAACTAATAGCTTTAGGAATAATAATTTTAGTAATTGTACAAACAAGTTTAAAAACCGAATCCGATAACAAGACAAGCTGGAGGACAGCATTGCGGCCTCAAAAGACGATCAGCAGCTTACTGTACAAAATGGGCAGAACAATGATCTCGAGTGCGAATGAGCGTCATTGAAGGCTTTGTATAAGACAATCGTGGACTCTCGTCGCGCATATCATGGGGATCGATCCGACGGCTGCTGCTGCTGCTCCGGCCTTGTATGAGCTTCCAGAGCCTCACCAACATCAAGACCTACAACGAGAGCTGTCAAGTACAGAAGTCGCAGTGATCACTCTCATACCGGTAGTTGGTCCCTCTCCAGCTGAAGGGGCCGAGCCTTCTACGACAGACGATATTCTCTGAGGCTGCGCTACCGCAGGAGTGCCCAGCTGGGCACCCTCTTGATGTGCAGATGCTGATACCGACCTCTGCCGGTCAGCAACCGCACGGCTCTCAAGATGATGGAGCTGGTCAGGGCCCACAACTTGGGCAAAATAGTTGTCAGTGCTCAAGTCAGATATCTCTCGACCCAGTCGACTGGCGGTACTCGTGGTTCGCTGCTTAGAAGGCTCCTTTCGCCCCACGATGGCCACCAACTTCACAGGCTGACGGCACAGATAGCAGTTACCCGTTGCAGAGATGATATCCTATACATTACCATGTGTTCAAGTAGAACCGTACGATGAACTCACCTTGGCACAGCCTTCACAAAGACCTCCATGCCCACAAGGCAGTAGGACCACCCTGGCTTCATCATCGAAACAAATTTCGCACAGGTTAGCATCGGGTATCTACCACAGACTAGTAGCCATCATCACCAAGCGAGCGCTAGTCCTATGCAACTCAGTATCTACTATGGATGCGTTTAAATCAGCTTCACTTCATAGGATAACAACGGAATTCCTCTCAAATGCAGTCGGGTGATCACCATGAGAGCGAATGAGAACAAGTACCCTATCGTTAGCACGTGTTTTAATACACGCTCGACATGCTATCACTACTACTTGTATCTGTCCAGCATCGACTGCCTTAGTGAACCCCCTGTGTATGTTAATAGTGGGTCGCTGAGCGTCATCAGAAAGCCCCCGTCCGCCACTCTCGATGTCGTCTTGTACGCCATCATCTCCAGCGGCGGGAACACCACCAAAAACCTTGGTCTTCATGCGATAGAAGTGAGAGCTCACCCGATGCAACGTCATGACCTGAAATATGCATACAGCTAACGCCACGACTCTACAGTGTGAGTTATGAAGAGTAATGTAATCGACGCCTTCATATTTTGAGGGTTCAAGAGTCAACTTTGAGTATATCGACATGACAATGTGAATCGATTGCCAATGTGTTTTAGAAGCCCTCCGAAGTCTATAGTCGTACTCTCGAATTGAAGAAAGCCATTTCGAGAAAAATCTAAATATGCATAGCTGTCCGGTTTGCACTGCATGGTCAGCCGAGCATTGACCCCGTCTAGATGAGTGCTACATTCTTAGGAGCATCGTTCATATCCTGTAGACGTTCCTCGCGTTCCTCCTCCTGGACTATGCTCTGTCGACGGCGACCTTCCCTGATGCAGCTGAGGACAACAACACCCTCATGCACGGCCTAGCAATAGCAATACCCTCCTCGAGCGCAAGCATGGTGCAGTAATACACGGACGGCCCCTTCCCTTTCCTCTCCCTTACTCGCGACACATGAACGCATCAGCAGGTATGGCTGACGGTACTCGAAATCGTCTTCCACATCCCCCACAACGACAGACATGCGTACCAACGTCCGAAGGCATCCGTTTAGCAACCACCAAGCATGCGACTATAGACAAGACCAACACACAGCCCAACACACCTGAGCACGTCATCACTGTAATACAGTATGGCGATGTTATTACCCACTAGGATCCAACTAGCCACCGGCACTGCGCCGTTGTGTAGTTGCCTGACTGCTGCTGCTGCTGTCATAAAATTCATAGTCCTTGACAAACTGGAGTATCGAATCTCGCTCTGCATCCACGCATTCCAACTTCGGTATTACTCTGTGATAAAGACTGAACTTGCATCCAACACATTTATTCATCGGTCGAGAAACAAAGCCTCCGCATAACACAACAGCAGCTTTTCCCCATACGTAACACATACCTCCATGCTAATTATGAAAGTCAGAGGGGAACTAGGAAGGTGATGAAATGATCAAAACCTTGTCGAGCATCTACCACTACTACCTTCATTTTCTCGAAACCTACTTATTTATATTAAATGAGCCTGTGATAAGAAAATGAAGCTGACCACCCTGAGGCTCCTGATGAGGGGCGTAATACCAGACGAGGCGGCACAAGTACATACAAGAGGGTACGATCGATAGTGAAAATGGTGATAGTAGTTCTTGACCAGCTATGGTATTCAGGATTCTCATCAGCTCATTATCAAGCTCTGGTTAATGCCAGTTCACGCGATGTCGTGTGATGGCCATGATGAAGTCGTGGCGATAACACCTATGCTCTCATTTGTGGAATTGATCTACACGTTTGTCTCTCCCCCCAGCCTCCGCAACGCACACTTCTTGTAACAGTCAACGTACAGTGAGACCTACCACTCGCCTTCCGCTACTACCGACGGCACATGCCCCGATGTCTTGTAGAAGCTGACTGCAATGCTGTCAACGGGACACTACCGATCACTTCGAGTGGTATGGTAGATACGACGGCTCCACCTCTACCAGCGAGCTGTCTCAGCCGAGTGATTCAGCTCAGGAGAGGAGGATGAGGAGAAGACAAAACCCGCTACGCAACTGCGAAACGGAATGTACACACATGGAATGAGTAACTCATTACAGGCTATCACGTGTCTCTTGAATATTGCTAGCGTTCGTAGTGCGTTCTCCAATGCTATAACGGTGAACTCCGACTTCGCTCGCCGATGACACAAGTTTATGCGCTCTTCATTCTATCCGCACTGGCGACTCGCGACTTTGAACTCGAATAGTCCGTAATCTTTACTAATCCTTCACGAGTTTAGGAGAACCTTGAGGGAAATTGGAAGCACCCATGTTGTACGTGACTGATGAAGGGCTCAGGGTAACGCGAACTGAAATACGTGTATGTTGGTGATTAAACAACAGCACTTCTAACACACTTAGTGACTCAGGTACTCATGTAGGTCCATAACGTAACATGCGCTGCCTGGGATCGGATCGAGCCGACGACCTTTTTATTCCAAGGAAGGAATAAGCAGTGCTTATTCTTGCCTTGATACAGGCGTTCCAAGTCGTGGAGATATGGATATTCAACGGAGCGAAACTCCCCAAAGGCGGGTGTCAGGAAGATAGGTGTCAATTGAAACTTCCCTTTGCATGGCAGTGCCGTGATGGCACATAGCCACGGTCCTCTACTCAAACACGAGGAGCAAACGCTTTCGAATCACCAAGTAGGACCGCACTGTCGATACTTCGCCACGAAGAGTCACGGGTTTCTGCTACCTACAAAATACCTCTAGCGAGACTTTTGTGACTCGAAATCGGTCGTTTTCAAAGACTCCTTCATTCGGTGCCACTTTTCCCCCGTCAACGGGCCTGATACAGCCGAGCAGAGCAGAGAGTTTTCAGCTAGGCTAACGCAATGATAAACGACATAGCTTTCCGTTTCTTCACCGTCTTAGAGACGGATTCATCTCGGATGGCATCACTAGACGACATCGTGGCGCTTGTCCGCGAGCGACTGGGTGACGTAGCTGCAGCGGTGATCCCGTTCGGGAGTCGCATTATATTCCCGGGGTATGCAGGCGGAGACGTTGACCTAGTTGTGATCCTAGCCAAATATGACCAAGATGTAAGTCGGCAGACCCGCACTTCCCAATGAAGAATGGCCACAGGTTCTGCCACGAGTGAGGATACCCGAGGAAATGCAAAGGGTGCGAAGAGCGTTAGTCCAACCAGAGTTGGACAGTGACGACTCACCCGTGATCGAGATTGTGAAGTCCTTGCCTAAGGCTCGGATACCACTATTGAAGGTGTTGTGACAAGGTCTCTCTATACTCACTATTCTGAAGTCAGGCCAGACACGTGCCTAGTCAAAGCCCGGTCGACTTGGTGATCCATCTTGGACATCCCATAGTGTCATCGTGGTTTCTGAGGGACATAGTCGCGGCCTCATCGTAAGTCTGAAAGCCTGGTGAGAATGGAAACAAGTGGTTCTAGGGTAAGCAAGAAACTCATACAGTTGGTTCGTAACTGGGGTGCGTCCAAGGACATAACACGAGCAGACCTCGGGATGCTGCCCAAGTAAACCCGATGAGTCCCTCCAGTGGAACTACACGTACTGGTCAGGTACGGCTATTCTTTGTTGGTAGTGGCCTTCCTACAGAAGAGAGGTCTGCTACCTGCCAACCTGTTCCCTATTACAGTTAAAGAGGCATCTGTCTCACGAGCGAAGAGACCAAGACTGTCGTCTACCGGTCTAGATCCAGCCACAGTAAGATGCTCGCATGCAGCGTTCTGATACGTCGGTTATGGAGGGTTACTTTCGAGTTCTCGTTATATCATCGCACTAAGACTCTTCCTCTCACACATTTCCGGCAAGTACTGTGCTAGCCGGGGCTGCTAATTGCATATGGTATTGATTGTCCACAATATGTTTAGTCCTGTAAACAGTTGAGTGGAAAATGCCCAAAATTCTAGTCATAGACGGGGCTTTGCGTGATGCCTTTTGTGAGCTTCGCAACCCGGGACCATGATTGAGTCGAATCGGCGTGGCTGGTATCATTTTTCTATCAGTACTATACTGAAGGACAGCTCATACGGTTCGTTCTTTCGGACGAACGAGAGCATCTGCCATGGAAGGCAGTCCTCGATGCACGGCCGTCGATTTCCGCTCATAGTGATGGCGCGAATGTTGATACTCTTTTTCAAGAGGTACTTCACCAAATGTTAAGTATGCCGGTCAATCGCGTTTCAGTTCCTGGCGGATCTCGAGGATAAATTCTCGTGTGACAATCCGTTACCTGTGGACTTCCGTGTGCACAAGGCGGACATACTGGAAGAGTTCAAAGTTACTTGTGACGACCTTTTCGTTTTACGAGATCCAATCACTAGTCGGAACGTAAAGAGCTTTCTTTTGTTATCGACACTATCATTGGTGAAGTTTCAGGTTGCGTGCATCCTCACTCCCACCACCAAAGTTGCTATATTGAATGAAGTGAAACGGGCGAGACGCGTGCTTTCTACTGGGAGGACTATCACTGATTTGCTAACTTTGCCACCCTTAACGGCACCATAGATGACTGCTGAGTTACTTTTCCGCTACTGAGCTTTCGTGTTAGAGGGTTGATTCTACAGAACAAGATGAAACTCGACAACCTAGGTTTATCGGAAAGGCATCAGGGTGATTTCAAATCCATGGTTTCGTGGCGAACAAGGACTTCCTCTTCCACCATAGGAATGTGGCTTATGCTGTCGTAGTGTCTCATATACGTCCCGTCAGGAAATCTGTTATATTCCTCTCGGCTCACCACTATCTCCCTCACTCGAGTATACTCCGCTATTGGGGAGGCATCTCCCGAGGACGAGGCACGGACGGTAGAAGATATCTCGCTGTCTGCTGTTGAAGCTCGGCCAGACGACCTCTGTTTCTCGTTGTGTTTAGCATGTCTGCTGACCCACTCGACTAGACACTGCGGTGGCTTAGCTCCGACATTGAGAGAAACAGCTCTTGCCGCACCGAGCAGGTCGACCATTGGGTAACTGAATGATGGAGAGATGAGATCTTGCCGCACGGTGATGTTTCATGGAAGATACATGGCAATGTCGATTCTCTGATAATCCTCGAACAATTTTGAGTGTATGTGAGACTGGTACGAGCTAAGTCAAATTCGCTCATGAACTCTCTCCATGTCGGAACCATTACGCTCAACTGGAGAATACATAGCCGATCATCAACAGATTTCCACTCACATGTCGATCTCGTCAACAGGGATTTGGCCTGGGCCCAGTATGATATGCTCTCCATCGTTCACCACGAGAATCATTTGTCCTTTGGTTGATACCAACAAACCGACCGTGTCACCCGGTTTCAAGCTTTTCGGATTCCAACTATAGTCGAGCATTTCATGACTCAGTCATCTATTGATTTAGCTCACTCGAGATCCTCAAACACATCGGTGTCGCTGCAATACGACCTTCCGTCGTATCCCATCGACCAAGACCCATCCAAGTCAGCCAGTGACCAAGGTATACCTTCTGCTAGTATGTCTTCAGGAGTTGCCTGTTGTGTGGAAGTCATTGCATATTCATGACGCGAAAAAGGCCCTACCGACGTGACCCCCAGTGTGAGACCGTCATCCCACTCATCCCCCTCCAGCTCTTGCCTCTCGAGCAATTTGACTTCGAAATACCAACCAATGAAACGGAAGTGTTCCACTGGCGCGTCGCCGATCACCATGCCCAGCGCGAGTTCGTTCTTCTCCGCTCCGACGTCTTTCCTGTACTCTGCCACGATCCCGCGGTCGGTCAGCTTCACATATTCAGAATGCACTTCATCAGCCCATCCGCTCGGGGTTTGAATCCTGTCTTCTCGATGGGCATCATTGAGCATGGAAGCCAGAGCTCCACTTGACTGATTCATCGTGGAGGCTCTAGAAACCCCGAAGTCCACACTAGAGTCACCTGAAGCCCACAGCATCGACATCGTCATCGCAGTCCCTTCTCACCGGCTTGCATCCCCTCTATTCTTTCAACTATATAGTCGATGTCTCTGGTGAGTATATCATCGCTGTCCCGGTTGTCCCAGGCAGCCGCATTGGCCTCCGTCATTTGGATAAGATTAATGTAATCTTCGTCCGCGAAAATATCCTGCTCGCGTTGTTCTTTTTGCCGACGGGCTAGAACCTTAGATGGTGTAAGAACCATAGAGTTCAATCCGTGCACGCGGGCCCACTTCCTGTATTTGCAAATCGGGCATGTTGTGAATCATAGCCACACACACGAAGAGTGCCACGAGCCTGTTCGGCATGCGGTCCAGATGGACAGCGACAGTGAATTGAGTACCAGCCTCACGGCAATTCAAGAAGCCGCATCGGGCAACAATCTGAATGTGGAGGTATCTCTCTTTTAATCAAGGTCGACAGGAAATGGACAGCTTACACCATCCGCGACGTCTTTGGGAGACGTATAGTTGAAGAACATAGGTAGACAAATAAGATTCATTCCGTTCGGAACCTGTCCGACGACAGTCGACAGTAGTAGAGTATGATCAGAGGGGCGAGGGTTCCCAACCTTGCTGTAGAGTAGTCGTCGCCAGTCTGCCATGCGTTCACTTGCTACCGGTTGGTCATGATCTGATGCTATCTCATACTGGAACATAAGTTGGAGGCCTTTCTCGAGATAGCTCGTGAGCACCTGCCAGGTGACGACTCCCAGACATTCCTCGACGACAATCGATTGAGTCCTCCAATCACTTAGCTACCGCGAATTTCGAGTCAGAAGCGCTGCCAGAGTTGCCTTACTGCGTCCTTCTGCCACACAACCGTAGAGGACTGATTTTGTCTGTATGCTTCTATTGCTTCATGGATATGACTATACACCTCACGTCTATTGTCCTCCATCCTAGGGAATGAACATTCAGCAACTACTTCCAATATCCCTAGTATGATAGCAATCAGCAATCAGCAGAGTTACGAGTTACCATTGATCGCTTCTTGGCATCCTATTCGATGAAGAACTAAAGAAGGGCTGCATCTCCGACAGTGTTGTTGAGAAGGGATGCCAGTAATTGTTGTTCCACAAGTCATAGTAGATCCTGGTCGGGTCTGGATTTTGCAGATTTGCCCAAACGTTGGACTTGTTGAAAACGACATCAATGGTCCTGTACGGCGTCAGGGGGTGCTCGGCAAACAACACGGGCTTCCACGTTCTGTCCTTCCAGTGTAAGCTTTCCGTTCTGATTTTCGAGTCGGCCTCATCGAAGTCGGGACCAGAGCATGCCCAACAAATAAGAATGTTAGCGCAAGTGGCGCCGAGTCGAGCTGCAGTAGCCTCCTTGCCTCGTAACGGGAGGCCACTATTGGTATAGGGATATGCATGGTGACACAAGAAGGCCAGCATATTGCTTCTGTGTGGACATGAACCACAGATAGTGCAAGATAGTGCTGGAGGTGGGTTGGAATGCAACCGCAGAGGGTGCCTAGGGACACGGGGAAAATGTTACACTATTGCTATCCCCCTCCTATATAGCAGCACATAGTGCAAGATATACTCACTCATGATGTTGCGAATTGATGAGATAGAGGTCGTGTGGAGGGGCATCTAAGGTGCTATCCAAAAGCTTCTGTTCCGAGTTACGATCATCAACGCTCGACTGCATACTTCCGAACGAGCTATCGTCTGCTGAAGCCTACACAAAGTATTTCGATACACCAACTCGGTGGGGAGTGCGGAGTCACATCATCGGGGACAGGAGTCATCATCGAGGCGCCGATCGATAAAGAGCTGGCCGTGAACCGAGAAGCACGGAACAACGCAGCGCTGTTCCGACGTCGCTCCTCGTTCAAGCTGTCGAGCTGAGATCGTCGGCGTTTCCTCAGAAGCTTCTGAGAGAAGTCAGATTGGTATCATCACCTCTAAGGGTGTCATCGATCCACCTGGTATAGGAGTCGTTTCCTTCTGGTCACTTCTGCCTCTCTGGCACTTTGCGGAGCGAGTCGCCCCGGAGGTCTCTTGTTCATCACCACACGTTTGCACCGGTATGCATCAGCGAGCCGGCATGGCAGATTGTATCTTGTGGAAGAAGTAGAATACAGGACACCCTGCTCTGCAGGGCCTGCAGAGCCAATCCCTGGCAGACCTACCGCCGACCGATAGTTGCATCCCAGAAAGTAATCGAGCCGTCGAACTCCATAGTCATGACCCAGTAAGCGGGTTGCCGATCCCAAGTTGTACCAATGCACACGAATGCCGCCTCGCCAACCTGTCTCGAAAAGTGGACTCAGTCCTAGAGAGTCCCATCTCATGCCTCCTACCTTCTGCCTGTCATCATCATCGGTAGCTCCGGTTAGGAGAGAATTCACGCCTGCTTCCTAACAACGATGGAGGACTGACTCCAGCGAGTTTCGCGAATCCCGGTAGGCTCCTCACGGTCTCAACCTTCGCCTGTTTCACATTCGCAATTTCGTATTTCCGCGCGGTAACCCCAAGCAAGAGGCTGCAGTGTAACAGCGCTCGAGCAAGGGAGTCACCTTTCTGCAAGGACATAGTGAAATCTGAAACATCAGCTCGCCATCACACGTTCCTCTTTATGGACCACTCATCGGTTCAGCCACTCAATGTAATACCTTACCCGGAGCCAGGGCCAATGACTCATACACGGGCATGGCATCGACGTAGGGGAAACAACGGACCCAGAAGTAAACAGCATTGCGGTTGTCCACCTCTGAGGGCGGTTTCATTACATCCAGGAACACTGAGAGGTAGTGGAGTCGTCTGAGTGCAAAGAATGGCCAGAAATAGGAAATATATTCCAGAGATGGATATACCCTCGCTGTCCCTTCAGCTGGTATATGAATTGTCGGGCGTCGGCCTCATTGAGAGCAGAGGTTCGATTGTTCCATTCCGCTACTCTAGATGACCATTCGCCGATGAGTTTTGGCGGCAGGTAGTCAAAAGAAGCCTCGGGGGCATCGAGGACGCGGTAGTCTTCGGGAAAGTCGAACGGCTTCAGCCACGCTTCTACATAGATGTGGGAAACCTGATGTGCCCATCATCTCTATACAAACGAACGCACACGCTCCCACACTGTTTTTGTTTGTGGTCTCGTCCACCTCGTTCACAGAAGGCATCCAGAGACACTGGAGGCGGCGCTTGAGATGGAGTACCTCGAGGACAATATTTGTCTTGTCGTAGGCATCATTAAACTAATTTTACTTTCGTTTCATAGTCTGTCGCCACACCGCTTCGAACGGAGTAATAGGTCTGCGTCTCCATTTTGCCTGGGAATGACTGAAGCAGCGAAATGGTCTCAATATGTCCGTAGGTACCATCATTGAATATTTCACTGAGGTCCATCTCAGCCCATCCACAATGGTCGGTCCCTCCTACGCCGGAACCCTCACTGGCGTCCAACCACACGTCGAACATCACCGTCCCCTGCAATAGCGAATGAAGGCGTTGAAGTTGCATCACCGAGGACCTTGTCAAGGATTGCTTTCGCGTCCAGAGCCGCAGGATTAGCAACTCGTATCTCGAAGTAAAAGTCCTGCTTGAACTCAGGCCGCAGCTCATCCTGGACCACATCAGTAGAATACGACATACCATCGAAGGTGACCTATGATGTATCTTACCACGTCGACCTCGAGATACCATCACCACAGCAGTCGTCGCCACGACACGCTGCATCTTTCAAAGGCCTATCTCTCTCTCAGTAAGGTCAACTCTATCGGATGGGGCGGCTATGCCACAACCTCAAATATAGGCCTTAGTGCGAGCAATTTCGCAGGTGCGTGACATAAAAAGTTCAATTCCGTCGACACGACCGGAACAACTCCGCCCTCGACAGACCCTGGGAACCACTCTTCCTGTTAGTGAGACTGATTGCGCTCGAGGGGCAGATATGCCACCTCGGGACGGGTGCATATTTCGAGTGGCAAGGTACCACTGAACTAAGGTCGAAGTTCCTCGTAACAACACAGTACATGATAGCGCTGAATCCCCGAAATGGCATATCTGCCCCTCGAGCGTAGTTGCTCTCACTAACAACGGAATTGATTCTTTCAATTCCTCGGCGAAATTGAACTTAATTCGGTCGTGCTCCTGCGGAAACAATTGTACTATTTTGGAGGTGTGGCATAGCTGCCCCATCACACAGGATTGATCTCCCTTGAAGAGGTATAGCTCCGAAATAACATATGATTGGTCGCTAGATGTTACTTGAACGTATGTATCCATTTCGTTAAGGGGACGCTGTTGAGCTGTGAGGATCCTGTCTACCTTGATGACTTTAATGAGTAGATACGCCTGAGCGAGTTGAATTCACGACTCCTGATGCTGAAGAGCCTCGAAGGGGTCACCTTTGATTCACTCATATCACAGAGCTCTCCTGTTTGCCTATATAATGGTCGGTGATCGACACCGATTTTCCCATCCAGTCTGCCGAAGCCAGACGAGAGCATTCGGCCTATGGCTTCCTTCGCATCCTCTTGGGTGCCTAACGATGCCCTCACAAGTTTGATATGTACAGTAGAAGGGGCATGATTGACCTTTTGTTGCGAGTTTAGTGAGCTGTTTGGTGAACCACCGCGGAGGCGCACAAATTGCCGAAACTCTACCGTATTCATACACGCCACGTAGAGAAATAAGAGCCTCCGCGACCGACTGAAACAGAGACTATGGGCTCCCATTATGAGGAGATTGCTTTAATGTGTGCGTCCACTATAGTAGACTCCCTCCCGTTCGAGAGTGAAAAGTTCTATCCCTTGTAGAGAGAAAGCCCCCAGCGATCAAAGAGACTGCTGTATTAAACGCTGACGGGAACTTCCTATGAGTAGTGCTCACGGTATTTCTGTGGAGGCCATGCTTCTTCGACCGCTGGACCACTTCTATCCGTAATGTCTCGCTATCAGCATCTGCCAGCGTGCCGCGGTAGTTCAGCTTGCCGATGTTAGACCAGCGAACTCTACAGGCAAGAATTCGCTCGTCCGCCTCGCTTCTCTGGTACGGCTGCCAAACGATGTTCAATGGACTCGCACCTTACACGGCTGAGTCCCTCTTGATATATTCACTCCGGACACTCATCGCGAAGAAGCTCTTCCAGTGGGCGAACAGGAGGCTACGCTTGATCGATGCACGGAAGCCAATTCGGGCCACGGCTGGTGTGTTTTTCGACTTTGCTGAGGGCTCATCCGCATCGAAGATGTTAGAAAGAGTTTTCGAGTCGGGTCGAAAGAAAATACTCCCACTGGGGGACTGAGACCGACAAAGCTGTAAGATAGCGATCGGCATATCCCGGGAGGGTCCAGAGCAGTCGATGTAGAGTGCAGATGCGCAACGGAGATACCCGCAAGAATGAGCACCTTGGTGGATCCTCGAAACCTGGTGAATGCGGCATCCAGACCTGAAGGTGAAAGCTCGCCAAATTCTGGCGATCAGAGGCCTCCCGAGTCGCGTTAGCCCGGAATCGAGGCTGACCTTCGTCTCTGGATTGGTGGTCAGTTTGCCTTTCATCATCACTAGAGCTTTCACTTGCACTCTCCATAAAAATGTCTTCCTCATGCTGCAGCTCAGCCGACGCAGCGACCCCTTTTTCCGTTACCTCATACCCACCTATCGCATGTCAACAATCATTAGTCCAAGACTACCGCCTATATGCGAATCATGGACCAACAGTTACCTCAGGTTACTAGTCGAAGGAGCGTCCACGATTCATAATGAACTGCTCAATTTCAACTAGCGGTGTTCCGAAGCGAAAGTCCAAGCATCACAGATCTCACCCTTGGCCGCCTTTATTCTCGCTACAAGCTCCTCAACCGTGGGCAAGTCCCGCAGGGTCCAATCGAGCAGGTGCAGCTCGAAATCATAGACCTCTTGAAAATATAGCTGGAACTCTACACGGTATCTGGGTATCCGAAAATCACCAATGGAAGGAATGCAGCACTCTTGACATATGCCATCATACCGCGCTTCACAACACTACGGTATTGCTCTTAGTGCTCTACAAGGTGACAAGTAAATGGATACTAGGAACCGCTACAGTGGGAACACCTTTCGGTGAATCTGCCGCTCTCCATCCCGACCGAATCATCTGTATCGAAGGTACCCAGTATACAACTCTGTAGTACTGGGCCTGTAGCATACTCGATCAGCGACCTCGAGTGTTGAGCATCAATACGGTTCGCCCTGAGACAGTTCACAACAAGGAGTCACTGGAGCGCGAAACAAGGATTGGCAGCACTTGTATTTGCTCCACTGCCAGAGCTCTATTTTAAGATTTTCCCGCTCGAGATCGAGGTAGCTGCCTCGCCATTCAAAGGCAAACTCGCTGGGCACTTGCACTTTGCTCTTAACACCGTCCACGAACATCTTCGGGATCGGGAAGGCCGCTGTGCGGAAGTACTGGGGCTCCTCGCCGAGGCACCAAACTGAACCTGAACTAGCCATTAGATAAGCTGGACAGAAAGTATGGCAGTCTCTAGCCGAGAACTAATGCACTGATAATTGTCGCTGACTATATGTCCCATCAGCAAGTCACAGTACGAGTAGATCACGGAAGCAGTGTGGGCATTAGAAAGCCGGAGGTTTTCAGCTGAGCCTACTAGAGGCACTTAGCCATCCAAACAGACTGCCGGTGTTGGTGGTGTCCACTCTGAACTCCTCCCTCGTGCCACCCCAAGCAAAGTTGAGGAAAGCAACGGGCTCATCGTTATTCAAGGGTACGACTTGAATCTTCCATAATCGAACGCCCCATCGACGAGGATACGACCAGAAGCGTTGCTGAAGAACAGCTGCGAGTTTCATATAGTCACGACATGCTTCATGATCACGCAGAGGAAGCCGTCTCACCTCCGCCTCAGTTTCCCCCAAAGTAGCACTGTACTTGCTCTTATGAGTCTCGTAGGCTTGCTGGAACCTTTCGCGCGTTATACAGATGTTATCATCACCAGCAACATCATCGTCATCTCCTGGGGCCTGAGTCCATCGACTCGCCAGAAGCACAGTAAACCGCGATGCCTCATACAATGCCTTGCTCGAGATCGTCGCCGTCTTCATTTCCAGCATCCCCCTCTAGCTCAGCTTGCTGCTTTTGCCGTTCTTCTTCATCCTGATACACATCGCGGTCGACAGTCCGTTGTACTATTTATATCTTCATTAGCTCCTGGGAGTATTCCAAAGCTCAAAGTCGCGCACCTTCTCCCTCTGTTCCTCTTCCCTTTTGCGTTTCTCTTCCTCTTTTTTAGCGTTTTCCTTGTCCTCAGGGGAATCACCCCCCACCAGGTTCTTCACCGCCGCCAGCCCCGCTGCGGCAGCGAACATGGTGATAAACTATTTTAACAAGGGATTGCTCAGTAGTGTACTCAGATGTTCCCCGAGTGATATTTCGAACTTCGTCTATTGTCAATGCCGCAATGGACACTATCAACTCGACGTTTTATCTACAGCGAGAAATCAGCTGGTAGAAGAACCATCTATGATAGAAACTACACCTTTTCTCGACCAACTAAGAATTCAGGTCGATCAATTCAAAAAAAGGTCCCAAATCGGGGGTTGGATTTGAAATTTCAGACATCCACTTCAAATTTTTCGCCACTAGAAAATGTCAGTCAAACTAACTGTCGGCAACTTCAATTTGAAGTTGCTGGCCGCCGGTGGTTGAAAGAATCTGACAGAATGAAAGTTTGTAAGCTAGATAATACAACCATTGATTGATGTGGAACATTCGGTTGGAAAAAGATTAAGAGCAGTATTTCAGTAGAATTTAGAATTGCAAGTCATAATATTGTCACAGCCATTCGGTTCTGATCTCCTAGAGAGCTTATTCTTCGATCTCGAGATTCGTGAAGTCCCACCTACATATTAGCAGCGATTGCCTGCGAATTCCGGAACTTCCGGACCGGAAGTTGTGTCACCGTTAACGGTTTTTTAGAGCCTCTTGTGTTAAAACGATGACCCTATTGAGTACGCTTTCCCCGACCATTAGACCACTTTTATTTCGCCCTTTCTCACCAGCGGCACAGCGACACTATACAACCTCGTATAGGTCATTATCAAACACAACCAAACTTGGGATTCCCAAGACAGCACCATGAAGGTAGCGGTTGGATTTCCATGCTAGCCGTCATCTCTTAGCGGCCATCGGAGCTCCCATCTCCAGAAAATTTCCATGAAGTCTTCGAGATGCAATCTACACCGGAACCGGATGCTAGTCACATTTTGTGGGGAAGAGTTGACAGGCTTGTTTCCTGAGCGCACCACCACTGGTAGTCCACCACATAGAGTGGTACACCTTCACGGGCAAATAGACAATCTACGATGACAGTCACATAGGTTACACCGTGGGAAAATACTCAACAAGCTCACGGAAAACGGCTCGTCCGGACTGATTCGCCATCGAATCAGCATTATTAATCCACTATTAATAAGTTCAAGTTTTCATTGCTGTTGTCGTCTGTCAGCTAGCATCCACTGCTAGTAAGTTACAAGTAATTGGACTCTTGCGTTATGCCTATTCAGTACACAACGTACTGTACGTTTTGATCCGTATCAGACACGGAGTCATATCAGACAATCAATAGGGAGAATGGCGAGAGTAATAGAGGCAATTTCCGCCTTCTTAGCTTTGCCGGGCTACTCGTTATATTCGTGTGCTCAAGGTGATGGCTGAATGCGCATTTGTCACTTCCAGCAGCAGCAAGCCTGATACAAAGATACAAATTCGACAATTCACAGTTTAACACTCAACTGAACTTAATGCTCGCAAGATCTATTCTGCCATGTTCGAGAACACCTCGTATGCGAAAACGCAACCCATCGAGCTCTCGAATGTGGGTTCTCGCGAAAAGTAGGGGGCGAAGGTGAGTTGATAGATCGAGAACGGAATTGGAAGTGAGTCGTCAGCTAAGCTGATCCGACTTCACCGCCACTTGTGATATCAAATTACATACTCTATAATAATCCATATGCGAATCAAAAATAAATACTAGTATGAAAAAAGCCCATAACTATCTGAAATGATTTGACATATCTGGAGATGATTCGGTCATCACTGGGACAGGACCTTGATGGGAGCAATCATCTACTTTTTAAGTATTTCCCGCACAGCCGCCTCAGCATTCACGCGGCCGAAAGTAAGAAACTTCTTCCTTTTGTTATCCATCACGCCTGCCGTGGCCGTTTTCTTGATGATACTACGTATATAACCTGGGGTCAGTTTAGTATGCTGAGAAGCTTCAAGACTATAGAGCATTCCAGCTACACCTGCTATGATGGCCGCAGCTCCTGAGGTACCTGTAATCTTAACATACTCCCCATTGGGAGCAGTTGTTAGTAATCGGTAACCAGGTGCGGCGATGTCAACAGGTGAACCAAAATTGCTTTCGTCGTCCAGCTGCATTTTTGTACCATTTGTCGCAGCCGCACAGATAACGCCGTCCATATAGGGTTCGTTGAGCGAACAAGGATAGTATTCTGCCGTGTCCAAATCTAGGTGAGCATTTCCTGCAGGTACAACAACTAGCATGCCAGCGGACACGGCTTCCAGAATCTTATGCAATAGGGGGGGATAGTTGATTTTGAATCCCAGCGAGAACAGAATCACTCGCACATCCGACCTCTTCGCGATAAGATATTCAAACGCAGCCACACCAGGATCGAGAGCCGGCTTAACGCCTATATAGATAGGTAGGATGCGGAGATGGTCAGCGATACCCGCGATACCAATCTTGTTGTTCCTAATAGCACCAGCAATCCCAGCCATCATAGTTCCATGCGGTCCTCGAGGATGGGTATCAGTATTCTTATCAATAACGTTATAGCCCTTTATGACAGTCCCTTGCAAGTCGGGATGATCGGCTTGGACACCATCGTCGATAACGGCGATGGTTACAGGTGTCCTCTTGGAAGTAGAGTCCAGGATGTCCCAAGCCTTTGGTACAGATATGGCCTCCAGGTAAGCCTTCTGCTGGGGATAGTATTCATCGTTCGGACTGCCGTTCAGGGGGTCAAGTCCACGGAAATGGTCAGAGCCGACCACTGCAGCTATGACGTAGACGAGGCCGAACGGGATGAAGTAAAATATGGTCATAACGAATCAAAGGGAGAAGGGAGACAAATTGTTGTTCGTTTTTTCGAGTGTGCGCGTGTGCGTACGAGCTCCTCCTCACCCCACTTCTGAAGTAGGGTAGTAGTACTTCACAAGCCCGCGTGAATCTTCACGAGACTCACTGTTGCAGATGGCTGCTAGACTAAGTTAACACAACAACAGCACGGCTGAGCCAAGAAGCAGAAGTTTACTGGCGTACATGGTATGTACCACACGACAATGAGGAGAACGTTATGGTGAATAGATCATTCACGCCCGCACAACTCATAACTTTATATGCGACCGTTGCATTGCATCGTACAATCTCTTCTGTAGTAGAGAAGAGATTATAAGTAGCAGTACTACTTATAATGGAGCAATGCAATCGTGCGTGAAAAGGTCGACTCCATTCTTGATTCGTCAGCTCCCCTTCTGATTGCTTCTGAGTACCTCGCATACCATGGAGACTACCCAATACTACGTTTGTCGTGCGATGACACTCCCTACGAACTACAATACCCCTCTCATAGCTCGATCGCTTAGGCCGGTTTAGATGCGTAAAACCGTCACGAAAATTTGATTCGGGTTATTCTTTCACAATCGTTCCCGTCCCTGATTTCACTTCTTTTGACATTGTGCATCAACGTCAACACCCCTACATATATCATTTCGCCACACACTTGGCACTCTTCCACTCTACCAAGAACTACTTTCTCCGCATCACTTACTGTAGTCGTTTTGGAAATATAGACCCTCATAGGCATGCGACGATGTACACTGTGTTAAAACGTTACGGGAAACTATTCACAGTAGAAACGGAACCTCTTCTCTACCTGAGCAGCTTTACACCCATAATGCCTACTATACACTCACTAATCTTCCACCATATGATAACTCTATGTCATACGCTTTTTTTCTCACTACCAAGTTCGGTTTTCATGGGGATCTTTACCACAGTGAAAATGCGTCGATGTGTGCTGTGCCAAAAATTCACGATTAGATGGCAGATATCCGCGACACTCACTTTCCACTGTGGTACAAAAGTATAATTTCTACTTTTTATGTCAAATCACTCCCCCTCTCAATACTCCAGCGCCTCGCCCCCATCACCAACAGATGTGTTGGTAACTTACCCAAGTCAGGAATTAACCGCTTCTAAACAAATAACTCGCTTAGGTTTCCATGAGGAGTACTTCTTGCCCGCAAGACTTCATGATTCATCGTCATACTGCTGAAGTACTTACATTTTCAACAAATGTTGGACAAGTTTCCGCTGAGCAAACAGCATGCTTCTACACAGTGCGGGAATGCATGTATTATTTCCTCAGCTGAACTCGTAAGTTTCCTCACTACACTACAGAGATCCACACACGACTTTGGGTAGAAATGTTCAGAGACCAACGAAATTTTCCAAAATTTCTTCAGAATTTCCATACTTCTACCAACACATGTAGTTGACCATGTGCTTCTGTAACGAACTCAACGAGACCCTCCATCACTGTGAGAGAAACTGAACCAACTGAGCACGTCAGAAGATCGTCGCTCAGAAATTGTCTTTCAGTGACCGAACTCGCGCAAAGACCTCAGCTAAGTCATGCGTCGGTTCGGACCCGGTCAGCTCTAAAGCACGCTTTTGAATGGCCTCCTGATCGACTCTTAGGAAAGGGTTGCACAGTAGCTCATCTGCCAACATGGACGGGACCTGATAGGGACGGAAACTAAAACCGATAGAGTTCTCAGGGAAAAATTCACGAGGAACTACCAATGAGAACCAATCACAAACTAAACATGGGTGGACCATTGCGCTATTCTGCCGTAATAGAGACCAGTGTGGAGAATATATGGTCAACTACATGTGTTGATGAGACTAGGAAAATCCTGAGGAAATTATGAGAAATTATCGTTGGTTTCTGTAAAGTTTTACAAGATCGTGTGTGGAATTCCATAATGTAGTGAGTTCAGTTGAGGAAACAAAACATATAATAGAGACGATCCCACTGCGACATAACTCATCATGTGTACTCGGGCTCAACTGAACGCAAATTAAGTCCTGGGGCTTACCGTGGCTTCTCCTCGACTCCGCATGTTCGTAATAACATCGCTCGCTTGCTTTAAATACTCATTACTGGAATCAATGTATCGGGCGAATTTACTGAAAAAATCGATCTCATCAAATATGCATTTTCCATATTGCACTTCAAACTTACGCATTTGACTGCGAATATTCATGTGCGCAGAACATAACCGTATCTTTCGGCAGACCGCGTATCCTCTGTAAAGTTGACCAGAACTGATTCTTGGTACCTGCAAATAATTTTGTAGCGCACCGTAAAAACCACTGATGGTGATGGTCACCTTCAAACATTCGACCACAGCCCAATACGAACAAAGTATCTCCACAAAAGAAGGCGTTAGCTTCGGGGAAATGGTATCCTGAGGTTGACTCTAGTAAGATACAGAATAGGTCCAAACCGAGTCTCATCACCAACATGCCCGTGAGTGTGACCAGGCAAGTCGAACACTCTAACTGTGAGATCGCCGAATTTGAACTCATCTCCTCCCCCGACGGCCTTGTCCAAACCTAAAGAGCAATCACATCCCAACTACATCTCCGCGAAAAAGATTAGCGGTCATCCTCAAAGAATTTCGCTGCGATAATGAACATGATATCAAAACTCGAAAGGAAAAAAGAATGCCTAGTGTCTTATGATAGAATTTATACACTCGAAAAGATGCTCGAGGGCTGAATCGAACCGGGATCGGAAGATGGAGAGGCAGACTTACCATCTATTTGACTATCATGACCGGGACCAATCACTTTACAATGAGTCGCCGCTTTAATCTCATTGTTGCCTCCGGTATGATCCCAATGATGATGAGTGTTGAGAATATAATCGGCACTGAAAGCAGAGACAATTACGTAAACTCTTAAAATCAGTCCGAATACCAAAATCACGTCATGACAGTAAATAGCTAACGCTTAAGACCTGCTCGATTCTCACAGACTCTGTAATACAGAGACAAGAGACTAGACATGAAGGAAAGTAATAAATTCACAACGAGAATAAATCAATCAGTGAGGGAAAATATGCACATGGTCGACTACATGTGTAGGTGACTATATGAAAATTTTGAGGAAAATTTTGAACAGTTCCATCCGAATTCGTGTATAAATTCCTAGCTGGGGAAAGCAAACATAATAGTTATTCTGAAATCAATAATTGAAATATTCTATAAATTAACATTGAGATTGATTATCAATTGCAACAACGATTTATGAGATGAAAAAATTTTCACATTTGCATATTACCGTCCGTTGAAATTCTTCCTCAATTCACTCAGAAGTGGACCAGCCTCGGGGGTGTCAACCAGTCCGATTGTTCCAGTCTGAGAAGAGGAATCATCACTGTTACATTTTTACCGCGCGCCACGAAATTATTACCTTCGGACATCGCAATATCCATCCGTAGTTGTCTTTCAGACAAGGCACTCTACGTATTTCGAGACGAGATGATGGAATCTTCGCTAAGGAGATAAAGAAGCAATAATATTCCTATCAAATTAAGAGTGCACTCTTCGGGTAGTGTGAAATAATTAATCATATATTTACATGAGTATACACAGGTCACTGGTAAAATCATATCAAATATAGTGTACTCATCCGCCAGTGTAAAATGATTACGTAACTGTTATTAAATATATAAAGAAAATATAAGTGTGTATATATCACAATATGAGAGCACTCTTCGGCTGGTGTAAAATGACTTACTATATAATTGTTAATAATTTTTACCGAAAATACGCAGTCAAAATTTTCATATCAAAATATGAGTGTATTCATCGGGTAGTGTGAATTTCACACTGTGAAATAATTAATAATATAGTTATAAAAGTATATACAGTTTGTTATTTACCAAGTATATAAGTAAAATACACATACAGTCATATGAATGCACTCTTCGGCTAGTGTCAACTTACTGATTATATGAATGTTAGTAAGTATATAAGGAAAATATGAATGCAGTCAATATCATCATATCACAATATGAGTCCATTCTTCGGACAGTGTGAAATGACTAATCACATAATTGTTAATAATGATTATGAGATACATTATCAGAGTCTGTGATTCACAGATTCCGAATTTGTGGAAGTTTCCCGTTTTCGAGCATGTCATCATCGGGCTGATAGCAAAATGTACCAGGTTTGACAAACAGGGTCTATCACGTGATTATTATCATTATGACTTCATGAGGACTCTCACAACTATACAACTGCCGTAGTCCAACTACGGTATACATAAACACTGAGAAAACGTTACCATAACTTACCCATCGCGGCATCACCATATAAGAACCTCCTACCCGCACTTTGCATTATTGATAAGTGAATGTAACTACAATCAAAGCTTAACATTCAACGGACTAAGCCCTAGTTAATCTGCCGCGGCTGAGGAAAAATATTCAGCTCGATTTAAAGCTGAGCAAAACGAAATGAAATTGAGACGTGCTCAAAATTTTCAACTGTCATCATGAGAGTCTTATGTTTGAAAGGAGTTTCGTGGCGCGTGACATTTTCTTTGGAACGACGCTAGTAGCGTCACGCTACTAGCACGTTAAGTATCCCACTCCTGAGCACGTGGGTCTGGTAGGCTGGAAGACAGAAGGTGTCCGCGGCTTTCAGCCTCGAAGCATCGAGTCAGTCCGACGAGCGCCCCTGCTGACGCCGCGCGGGTTGCGCTACGGCGGCTGTGCGTGCCGGCGATGCGACGCTGTGCACGGTCGTCCAACCAATGCTTGCTCCCCAAACCACCCCGTCCCACACAAACGCGATATGAGCACCACTGGAAAACATATAGCTCGTACGATATGGTCGTCATGCACTCGACACATCTGACAGGCGATCGTAGCAACCCGCTGCCATCGCACGGGCGTAGGATGTTAGCACACCTTGGCCACACCGTGGAAGAAGTAGGGGGGTAATCTCGAAGTTATTCACCCCGGACTGCCGCATCCATTGCGACCCGCTTCGTCTCAGGGTGTATGTCCGTAATCCGACGGAGTCGCTCCACCAAACAGGATCTTAACCCACCTTGACGGTCCTGCGTAGGACTAGCCATCGAACGGCATGCCGACTCGCCTTAATCCGCCTGTACCTTTTGGTGAGGTGCGCACATATAGCCGTACAGGCCCTGTATTACAGGGCGTGAAAAGCGCAGAGCGGGGCGGCAAACGGAGCCACTTGATGGCACGCAGCCTATCTTTGGACTAACTCTGCACCGGAATTGATCGACTTTGCTCTCGCGCGCATCGAGACATTCGACCACGCACTATTCTCGGTTCCGAGGTGGATGTCGACGGCGGACTGCCGGAGGGCTGGTCCAGCCCGGCTGGACACTCTCGACACCTCAGCATACCGAGAAGGCAGAGTTCACGAAAGCGAGCAGTGTCTCCCCTGTCGAGGGGTAGATTCTTCACGGATCGACGGCCTCCCCAAAACGCGAATTACCGAACCCACTAATACCGAATTACCACCTGCTGGTAATTCGAGTTGCTGCAACTCGAAGCATGAACCTGATACACAACTACTTATAAGTCACACTGTCTACTGAATTGGGAGGTGAACGGAAACTAGGATAATATTCGGTATACTATACCGGATCAACCATTCCCACAGGTTTAGACATGATCAAACGAAGAAGATACTACAGAGTCTGCGTGAGTACCCGATCAGTTATCTCAGAAAATGAGTTACAAAACTTCATATGAAGTTTAGGCGTAATGGTCAAGCTGAGTTTCTATAGTGCGCGAGGTCGCAGGATCGAGTCGATCCAATCGACCCAGACAGATGGTCACCAACCATCGGATGCTAGGCCGCGCGGAGCGTGGCCGATTTTCTTACTATTGTTTCGCGAACAGTTCGCGAAACGGAACATATATTTACTTATCCAAATTTTGAAATGCTCATGGGAAATTTGCAGTTGTTATGGTAGAGAAATGAGGTATCTGAAAAACTGCTGGATGTATCTTCGGAGTTTCGGGTCTTGTTTTGATATTGTATTCCGATGCACTAGCTAATTTTGATAATTGTAGGTTGTGTGATAATTCTATGGAACAAATTTTAGTATGTTGTAGTTTCATCCGTTTTATGACATAAAACGTGTGGACATAAAATTACGAAAAAAAATTACAAAATTACAGATAAAATTACGCCACTTCACATAAAATTTATGTGAAGTGGCGTAACACTTAATGTAATTTATATGTTCCCGCGATCGATAACACAATTGTATTCCACGAAGTGAAATGTGAAATATGCCTTTCACTAGTGTTTTTCATATCAACGGTGAAACTCCATTCTTCTTTAAGGAGGAAAGACTGATCCTCTAGGAAACTGGCTCGGAAATCATTCTGGTATATCTGAGGGGTATTTTTTCTAAAGTAATTTATTTTTCACGAGTGTTTTTCGGGAAATCAAAATTCTTGAATTTTTTCCTTCATAGGTTTATCAATGCTTTTGGTTTGGTTTCCCTGGGCTATCTGGCAATTCTGGCGATCATTTACGCTAAACCGTCCCTTCAGTCAGCAGCGCTTTGGCCAGTCTCATGGGTTGGCATGCTGGCACGATTCCCGGTTTTATGTTTGCGTTTATGTCACATAATTTCAATACCTACTACGCTGCAACAGTTACCACGCTCTACAGATCGTAGCCAGCAGTGAGCTGTTGAGCAAGCATCTTACCACCAGATATTCCAGTCCTCAGCAAAAAGAGGTCATCATGAAGACCTGGCTGAGAAACCGAGACTCGAACAAGGATCGAGGCATGCCACCAACTCCCTGATCTCGTCTCAAATTAACAACACAAACAATCGTGTGTATACAGCTGAACGTGATGGCTGTTCACAACCATTACAGCATGCTCAGTAACTTCATCGAAACAAACAGCAGCAACACCACTGTTAGTGATGCAGTAACATACACTTGCTCAACAGCAACAACACCTCCCATTTCCTACTCTGGATGACTCTCACGCCCTCCAGGTTTCTCCTCTGTTATTTTTTCATTCTCCACCGCCGTATCAGTAGAGCCTGCCAGAAACCCCAGCACAGTGTCCAAGTACACCCAGCTGGGCTCACCATAGAGGACTACCGAACCTGTCTCTTGAGTTTGCTTTTTATCCTTCAATGGCATTATAATCGCCAGGCACGACCCCAGCACCGCGCAGAACGTAGGGACAGCTATTGCGGAGAATATTGTCATACCAGAGAACCATCTCAGTACCCATAAGCCCCCATGTGGCAGCTGTGATGCCGTTGACCAATGCACTCAGTACGTCACAATGACTAACCCCTTCCGGCAACCTCTTGACGAACTCGAACGACTGTATAGCCTCCTTCATGCTCTTAGGCCAATCCCAAGCTCGAAGGGCCTCCACTGGACTAATGCGATCCAGAGACGTCGGAGGCACCGGCCTAGCAACCAACCAGGGTGCTAAGTACCGACTCTGCATACTACCTCGCCATCCAATACGTTCCTATCGCTAGAAGCACGTACGAACACCTACGAACATGCCGGTGTCAAGAACCCCACTCCATTGCCGTGACCACTCTGAAACCAGTACTACAGTATGGCGACGATCTCTACGATGAAGGCTCCTCGGAAAGTCATCCGCCTACTCCACGCGGAGACCAATCCAGTAGCTGAGACCAACACATTCAAGCAGCGACACTGCGAGCGGCCTTGCCCAAAGGACTACTACTTGGCCATCCTAACATGATAGCTGACAATAGCCATCCCCGATACGGTCGAGAACAATGAGCATCGCTCTCAATCCAGATAACGGCAATCAGGGCAACAACATCTACTACTGTTGCAAGGACTATCGAAACAGCAACGGCAGTGAAGTGGGGGAGTACTGAAACCGTTGACGCTTCTGCAGATGCCCGCTGACGGCAGGCGGGTGGCATTAGTCGGAGAAACTTGACAGAACCACTGTTAACCACCGTTCAGTGGTACTCTGTGACGGTCAATCTCCCTTGTTTACCACAAACTCCGTCGAGGGAAGAACCCAACAAGGATATTGGAAAACTTACGAGCCACGTAGTGGTGAATGCATCCAACCTCGCCAGCAGCCTTATTCGCCTTATGATCACACTCACTAGCCTAGTCCAAGCTAGTGCCAGTGGTGCCGACTCCATCGCCTTGGAGGTTGGAAGACAAATTCCATGCGGCAGCCAAGATAATGATACATAACTACATCACCGTCGATTGATCAGCGACTCCTATTCACATAAGGGTAGTCCATCAGGTGATCGTCAGGCACACTGTCCGGGTTGATGATACCCGACCACTGGGCTGGATGCCGCTGTAGAGGCTACACCCAGTGATACATCATCTCTAATGCAACAGCAGCTGCCATCACAAATACCTGGCGACGGGCAAGCCTGTGCTTGAGCAATGGCCCGTAGCATCGTGGGGCTGGGACCAGGCTCGGGATTCCAATCGAACTCCCTCGAAGACTGCTCTCGGGGACCATCACCAGAGAGGTAGCGACCCTTCATCATGCTACTGTGGGTACCACCGTTACCTCGACGAACCAATGCTGGGAAGCAAGAGAAACACGTCGCAGTCGAGGAGGCACCGGCGGAAGTAGCTGAAGGAACGGTCATACTGGTGATCCTCAATGGCGAACAAGCCAACCCAGCGGACCAGGAAAACTGGCAGAATGATAATGCACCAAAAATCGCCATCACAGAATCATTGCCAGAGACAAATCGATCAGCAGGGCTTGCGCTAAAAAGGCTATGCCTTAGCGCATGATTCCCCCATGTAAATACAACACGAACATGTGAATCATCATCCATCCCCCCCATCGGCCTCCACGCGTCATCTTCGCGTGAGGGTGTTATAGAATTGATGACTCTATGATGTCAATCATGGCGCGGACCATGTCTATCAGTTGTGCTGTATGTTGATAATATCAACTTGATATCCTTAGCGTGTTTTAGCCTAGCTTCAACTTCATCTGTAGCAGTGGTTATTTATAAGTAAGCTTCCACAAGAAACCATTTTGGTTGTCCTTGTTGGGTTAATGTAAGATCTTGGTTTCATCTAGTTGACCGAAAGCCCTCTTATATTCGGGAAGGTGGGCCGGGGTTCTTCCGGTGCTAAGTAGAGCTCGAACTTACCGCTCTAACACGTCCCCCTAATTGGTGACTGAGAAGTGGCTAGATTAACTACTAATCGCCCCTACCTTGGTAGCTCGTGTGATAAATTACCACTGGTGATACGTCCATATGTAACATTCTTCACTTTTCTTGTACTCCCTTCATTGCTTCTGGAGAGATGCTCCACACATGTCAGGAACCTCTGACATGCAAGATGGCGCCCTACGACGTTCGCTGTTCGGTAGGCAGCAAGTCTGAAGTTCAGGCTCTGAACACAGTGACAGTCTTCCGAGAAGCTCTTTGTTCGCTCGTCATACTAGCTAGTGTGACTTTTGCTCTAGATCTGCGCAACTTTTATCATTCTTTTGCTCATTAATTTGTACTTCTTGCTCCTGTCATTCTCCCATTTTTTCATTCTGGGGTTGATACTTAGAGTCTGTTAGTCTGTACGAACCGTATGCGTCGTACGACTAAGTCTATTTGTTCCACTCATCGTTGAATCTGATTCGGGATTTACGTGGTGAGTCTAGTCACCTCCCGTTATTGTCAGCTTACGCGGAGGCGCACTGTCGGCGATGGGCTACCGCCCGTACAGCCGGATAATACGGTTCGCGTTTGCGTTGGGTTGCATCATCCACTAGATGATGTGACTTTCTCCTTGTTGCTGATAAATAGTAATAATGGCAACGAGCATCTTGAGCAAACTCTATTATATGCCTTTACCACACGTCCCCACATCCACCCTGCCCACCTTCAGTAACAGCATTCCCAATACAAACATTCACGCGCTCCGCCAGAGCGATCGCCAATATGAATTCTGCTACAGCCTTCTCCTCAACTGTCTTTCGCTCGCTGTGACACAGTAGCACTGCGGACCAGTAGTGTACCATCAACACCTTTACTACAATAACATGACGGTGCTGCCGTGAGTAGCATAGTAGTAATTGATCACAACTGAATTCACCTTCAGCGTTATGCCATGCATGGCGAGAAACTGGTCCTCCATGGGAATTCTCGTGATCACACACACCGAGTAATGTCAGCTCCGTACACGAAGGCGAGAGCGGCTTCTATCAGCTCCATCTCGGCCTGGGCTGTGCCTCCCACCCAGAGTCGCTCCTCATAGACTATGGTGCGTGAGCATTAGCACCGAATTCCCATAGTCAGCAACCGCATGAGAGGGCTCACCTCAGTGGTGCGGTCAAGTGTCAACTGTGGTGGCTCAACGGGATTGTTGTACAGCACCCTAGGGTAAAGGCTGTCACCGCTATGGGGGAGATAGACTCGCACGAGAGTGTCCACTCCAGCTAAGCCCATCCCACTACGTACCTGCATTAACCTGAGATACGTTCCTACCTGCCGTCAGACCGGAGGAGCCAGGCAGTGTATTGCTTGTCTCCATTGGCGGGAACCAAAGAGAGTAATCACTCACCATTCACTCCATATTGTTGTGATGGCCCACGGTGAGCTCCTCGTCCAACTCGCGTCCCAACCCCCACCACTGTTGAGCAACGAAGCACGATCTAACCTAGACGATGGCCTACAAGGTGTACGCTCAGGTGCACTTGTTGTAAAATCACTTAATGTAGTATGCAAGGTGCCTCATAAGGTCCACCTTGAGACGCTTCAGGAGTCCCTTGTGAAGCAAGGGACCAACAACGCGCGCATTTGGAACAGCGCGCGCCAGGCTGGGCGGCCTGAACGTGGGCACTTTCCGGGCTGAACGTGGGCAAACCCCTAGGAGGTTAGTTAGGAGGGTTCTACGCGGGCCTTCGGCCCGCTTTTTTCTACAGACTGTGCGACTATTCCTCCGAGACCCGGCCCTAGCTGGCCCTGCCTGGAATAGGTCGCGCTGTCTCTCGTGCTGCACAGACCTCGACCATGGCCGTAGGAAGCGGCTCTTGCAAAGTGCACAACATACTATTGAGAAAAAGCAAGAACGCAAGATTCAAAAACCGTTTCTCGCACAACTTATTGAGCTCCATTACAGATTTCTTGGGGTGAAGTCACTTCATTTAAGTGTCATGCACTTCTTAAGTCGAGACTCGTACTCAGTAGACTCACCGTACTTACCACTTACTGTGACCAACTCTAAACTTGTGTTGCCAGAGGGGATCCCTCAGCAGTGTCTCAACTATGTCATATACACTCATCGGGTTGCACTTCCGGAATCGAGTATCACTTGTAGAGTATCGGTAATTGTGTTTGGTGATCTGGAGCCGAGTCATAGACCCTCAGCAGTGTCTCAACTATATCATACACACTAGTGGGGTTGCAGTTCCGGAATCAAGCATCACTGCTAGAGTATCGGTAATTGTGTTTGGTGAGCTGGAGCCGAGTCATAGACCCTCAGCAGTGTCTCAACTATATCATATACACTAATCGGGTTGCAAGTCTGGAATCGAGTATCACTTGTAGAGTATCGGTAATTGTGTTTGGTGACCTGGAGCCGAGTCATAGACCCTCAGCAGTGTCTCAACTATATCATATACACTAATCGGGTTGCAATTCCGGAATCAAGCATCACTGCTAGAGTATCGGTAATTGTGTTTGGTGATCTGGAGCCGAGTCATAGACCCTCAGCAGTGTCTCAACTATATCATATACACTAATCGGGTTGCAATTCCGGAATCAAGCATCACTGCTAGAGTATCGGTAATTGTGTTTGGTGACTTGGAGCCGAGTCATAGACCCTCAGCAGTGTCTCAACTATATCATATACACTAGTGGGGTTGCAATTCCGGAATCAAGTATCACTGCTAGAGTATCGGTAATTGTGTTTGGTGATCTGGAGCCGAGTCATAGACCCTCAGCAGTGTCTCAACTATATCATATACACTAGTGGGGTTGCAATTCCGGAATCGAGTATCACTTGTAGAGTATCGGTAATTGTGTTTGGTGATCTGGAGCCGAGTCATAGACCCTCAGCAGTGTCTCAACTATATCATATACACTAATCGGGTTGCAATTCCGGAATCAAGCATCACTGCTAGAGTATCGGTAATTGTGTTTGGTGATCTGGAGCCGAGTCATAGACCCTCAGCAGTGTCTCAACTATATCATATACACTAGTGGGGTTGCAATTCCGGAATCAAGCATCACTGCTAGAGTATCGGTAATTGTGTTTGGTGATCTGGAGCCGAGTCATAGACCCTCAGCAGTGTCTCAACTATATCATATACACTATTCGCCGATTAGTAATCGGGTTGCAATTCCGGAATCAAGTATCACTTGTAGAGTATCGGAAATTGTGTTTGGTGATCTGGAGCCGAGTCATAGACCCTCAGCAGTGTCTCAACTATATCATATACACTAGTGGGGTTGCAATTCCGGAATCAAGCATCACTGCTAGAGTATCGGTAATTGTGTTTGGTGATCTGGAGCCGAGTCATAGACCCTCAGCAGTGTCTCAACTATATCATATACACTAGTGGGGTTGCAATTCCGGAATCAAGCATCACTGTAGAGTATCGGTAATTGTGTTTGGTGATCTGGATCCGAGTCATAGACCCTCAGCAGTGTCTCAACTATATCATATACACTAATCGCCGATTAGTAATCGGGTTGCAATTCCGGAATCAAGTATCACTCGTAGAGTATCGGTAATTGTGTTTGGTGATCTGGAGCCGAGTCATAGACCTTCAGCAGTGTCTCAACTATATCATATACACTAGTGGGGTTGCAATTCCGGAATCAAGCATCACTGCTAGAGTATCGGTAATTGTGTTTGGTGACCTGGAGCCGAGTCATAGACCCTCAGGAGTGTCTCAACTATATCATATACACTAATCGGGTTGCAATTCCGGAATCAAGCATCACTGCTAGAGTATCGGTAATTGTGTTTGGTGATCTGGAGCCGAGTCATAGACCCTCAGCAGTGTCTCAACTATATCATATACACTAATCGGGTTGCAATTCCGGAATCAAGCATCACTTGTAGAGTATCGGTAATTGTGTTTGGTGATCTGGAGCCGAGTCATAGACCCTCAGCAGTGTCTCAACTATATCATATACACTGATCGGGTTGCAATTCCGGAATCAAGCATCACTGCTAGAGTATCGGTAATTGTGTTTGGTGATCTGGAGCCGAGTCATAGACCCTCAGCAGTGTCTCAACTATATCATATACGCTAGGGGGGTTGCAATTCCGGAATCAAGCATCACTGCTAGAGTATCGGTAATTGTGTTTGGTGATCTGGAGCCGAGTCATAGACCCTCAGCAGTGTCTCAACTATATCATATACACTAATCGGGTTGCAATTCCGGAATCAAGTATCACTTGTAGAGTATCGGTAATTGTGTTTGGTGATCTGGAGCCGAGTCATAGACCCTCAGCAGTGTCTCAACTATATCATATACACTAGTGGGGTTGCAATTCCGGAATCAAGCATCACTGCTAGAGTATCGGTAATTGTGTTTGGTGACCTGGAGCCGAGTCATAGACCCTCAGCAGTGTCTCAACTATATCATATACACTAATCGGGTTGCAATTCCGGAATCGAGTATCACTTGTAGAGTATCGGTAATTGTGTTTGGTGATCTGGAGCCGAGTCATAGACCCTCAGCAGTGTCTCAACTATATCATATACACTAATCGGGTTGCAATTCCGGAATCAAGTATCACTTGTAGAGTATCGGTAATTGTGTTTGGTGATCTGGAGCCGAGTCATAGACCCTCAGCAGTGTCTCAACTATATCATATACACTAGTGGGGTTGCAATTCCGGAATCAAGCATCACTGCTAGAGTATCGGTAATTGTGTTTGGTGATCTGGAGCCGAGTCATAGACCCTCAGCAGTGTCTCAACTATATCATATACACTAATCGGGTTGCAATTCCGGAATCAAGTATCACTTGTAGAGTATCGGTAATTGTGTTTGGTGATCTGGAGCCGAGTCATAGACCCTCAGCAGTGTCTCAACTATATCATATACACTAGTGGGGTTGCAATTCCGGAATCAAGCATCACTGCTAGAGTATCGGTAATTGTGTTTGGTGAGCTGGAGCCGAGTCATAGACCCTCAGCAGTGTCTCAACTATATCATATACACTAATCGGGTTGCAATTCCGGAATCAAGCATCACTGCTAGAGTATCGGTAATTGTGTTTGGTGATCTGGAGCCGAGTCATAGACCCTCAGCAGTGTCTCAACTATATCATATACACTAGTGGGGTTGCAATTCCGGAATCAAGCATCACTGCTAGAGTATCGGTAATTGTGTTTGGTGACCTGGAGCCGAGTCATAGACCCTCAGCAGTGTCTCAACTATATCATAAACACTAATCGGGTTGCAATTCCGGAATCGAGTATCACTTGTAGAGTATCGGTAATTGTGCTTGGTGATCTGGAGCCGAGTCATAGACCCTCAGCAGTGTCTCAACTATATCATATACACTAGTGGGGTTGCAATTCCGGAATCGAGTATCACTTGTAGAGTATCGGTAATTGTGC